TATATTGTAGACGGGGTGGGAGGGGGCATGAGGTGAATTAAGAAGCTGTTGCTGTGGCCGAGGTAAGAAGTGACAAGAAAATTAAAATGGGTGGAACAGAAATGGAAAGAGGCTACAGACTGCAAAGATGCTGCATCAGGAGAAAGACCATTCTGCTGGTGGCAAATTCCCATGACTTTGAGGAAATACTTCAACTCTTAGTATGAACAGCCACATCTGAGGGGTTATTTTAGCACAGAATTAAGCACAGACAAGTATTTGAAAGATGTTACGACTGCTCATGATAATGAAGGAGAAACTGAGGGTAACTATTAATACTACAAGGTGCTTTAATTACAATAAAATCGGGGCCTTGTCACTCTTCACAAGCAACATATACTGCCTATGAATCTCATTTCTCCTCCTAACCTGCCTAAAATACTGACATAGTGACACATAGCTGGAAGTGTGTCCTGCTTTTGAAATATTGAAAAACCTAATACTTTCAATACTACCATGACCTGAAGGCACGAGTCAAATTTGTACAGTACAAATTCTGGAGGCCATGGCTAACATCCCCTCATTGATTACTTGTACTGTGACTGGTGTCTCTGTGAGAAAGATTTTAAGGTCCAAGATCTGATTCAAAGAATACCTGAATCTTTCTGAAAACAAAAAGTATTTAAATTGGTTCTACCGTAACTATTTCATCTCTCATGTATCTGTCCACAGCTTCTCATCCCACTCAATGTCTAACTTCATCGTCAGCTCTAAGGACAGTTTTATACCTAAATAGAATTTAACAATTCATATATAGTAATCCTTGACAGTCTTTATGCTCAAGAGAACAATTGTAAATACATTGCTGCATTTAATCGTTACAGAACAAAATGAGGGAATATAAAACAAAACAGCCACTGTGAAAAATAGTTTGGCAGTTTCTCAAAAAGTTAAATGTAGAATTAACAAATGACTCAGCAATTCCACTTTTAAATGTACACCAAAAAGAACTGAAAACAGATACTCAAACAAATACTTAACACACCAATGTTCATAGCAGCACTATTCACAACAGCCAAAAGATGCAAACAACCCAGATGCCATCAACAGATGAATGGATAAGCAAATTGTGGTCTATACACACAATGGAATATTATTCAGCCATAAAAAAGAACGAAGTACCAATACATGCTACAAGGTGAATGAACCTTAAAAACATTATGCCAAGTGAAAGAAACCAAACATAATAAATCACATATTGTATAATTCCATTCATATGAAATATCCAGAATAATAATATGGGCATGGGAACACAGCCTCAATTGTGAGATTTTTATTCATGGTTTCAATTATGATTAAAAATATTTTGTTCATCATTTGGCACACAGTAGCCACCAAATCTTTTCAGAGCATAGAAACAGGAGGGCAGCATAGAAATCTGATCAGGAAACACAAGGATTTCTCCACGCAAATCGAGCTTTATTTATTCTTTATTAACATGTCCATGATATGTTTCTAAAACTAAAACACTTCTCAACTGACAGGCAGTTTTGAATGCAAGAAGTGTGGATATGTCATGTGTGAAAGTGATGGTAAAACTGGAACTCAAAAAAGCAACTTAGAGGCTCTTTACAACCTAAATACCTTCTAATAAGACAACACTGGAGCCCAGCGGTTAAGAGTGAGTATTTTGTCATGAAACACACCTACAGTAGAACGTTGGCTGGCCTTACCACCTGGGTGACCTTGAGAAAGTTATTAGTTCTCTGAATATCAGATTTCCTAATCTGTTAAATGAAAATATTAATGTCTACAGTACAGATTGTTACAAGGACATCCTAAAAGAGTGCACGTAAAGTACTTGGCTAAAGAGATGTTGAATTTATGGTAATTTTGACGATTTCACCTCTACACTTACCTCCAGCTGAATATAGACTTGCTCAGGCATCTTCTGGCCATAGCTTTCCAAGAGTGTGATGGTTTCTTTCAGGGGTTCAAAGAGTTCATCTGTAGCTCTCTGTCGGCTTCGTACAGCCAGGAGATGCCCCATGATGTCAACCAAACCATCGTGGTCACCTTCACTTAATTCTCCCTGAAGTCCTGCGTCTGTCTCCTTTATAAATTCTTGTAGCTCATTCAGACTATTAAATATATATACACACGTACATATACACATACAAATTAAGTTTATTAAAACATTTAGTAGTATGAGACTTCTCATTCAATCTTATTTTCCTTATGTACCTGATTAAACATTACTTGGTATCTCTATTATGACATTGGCAATATTAACATCTCAATTTTAGAAAGCAGTCAGCGTTAAAAGTTTTAATTCCAAATACCAAAGTACAAAGGCTACCTGTCAATGACAAATCTCAAAAGATGCTCCTGAAACATCCAGCTCCATTTCTTAATAATGTTTAACAAGGTCACTTTGAAAGGCTTCATGTCCACCTTGAACCAACTATCAAACACTCTGAAGTCATTAAACTTGCTCATCTGAACATACAAAGCCTCATAAATGTCTATCTGTAATTAGAAAAAAAAAATAACTATAACTGAAGCAAAAGTCAATTCGCTACATCAAATGCTAAGAGTTTTTCTTGCCTGTTCTTGGAATTGTTTAAGAGTTGGTGGTTGCTCAGGGATTTCTTCATTTGCATGAGCATCCATTTCCTCAGATGACACAGTATGACCATACAAGAGAAAATGCCTCATAAACTCAGCTCGGTCATCCACCCAGAGGTAAGCGTAGATCTCCAGGGTGTTTTTGAAATCCAAGACTTTGTTGATGACGTCTGCCACTCTCTTCATTATCTCCTGCCTGACCTCTGCCAGGTCTAACATGTTATCCATATCATTCTAAATGAGAGGAAAACCAAGGACTTATTCTTATTTGAACCAACCTTTCTGGAATAATTATATGCAACAACAAAACATTACCAAGGCAATTCTTTAAAGGGAGAGTAGTTGGCAAAATAACAAATCATGTTGCTCTTTCCAACTTCTCCTTTCTTTGTGTCCATTTACCCCAAATTATTTTCGAATCATTAATATCAAAGCTAATACCTATATTCAAAGAAAATACCTGATAATTTGCTATTTCCAGATGTGTTGCTATGCGCTCCATCTGGGCAGACATTCTAAAACTATTGCATAGCATTTCTTCTACCAGGTCATAGAAGCCATCCCCAGCCTCTCTGTCCAAAGAAGGTTTAAACACAATCTCAGGGGGCATTAAGATCATCTGTGCTTGAAAAAATGGTGCAGGCTTCAATTGTTTCTCCGTATTCATCAGAAAGAAGTCTAAGTCATGCATTATAGCCTGAAAAAAGCCTTCTACCACGATGTCATCAATGAATTCTACATAAATTTTCCAGTTATCCAGAGAAGGATCGGCTTTGAAGAGCTTCCTATTTTCCTAAAAACAGACAAGTTTTAATAGATGAATATAACAATGACTACAAAAATGAAAGTTTTCCATTTAAATGGTTTGTTTAAAAAGAGACTGCACTCTTGGGCACAACACAGGAACATCGAAACGCTAGGATGCAGAACCTTAAGCTAAGATCTAAGCAGGATTTTATAAGTTCACACATGAAATATATTTCAAAGCCATTCTTTAAAGGAAAGATCAATATGAAGATTGCTATCTTCATATACAGACAGGAAATGTACTAATTCCCCATAAATTCTAGAGGCACCCAACTTGCACTCTAGTTTTTGCTCTGTCCCTAACTCTACGTGCCCTTGGACTTTGCCTTCCAGGGCCTTACCTGTAAATGAAAAGATTTATCAAACTAAATCTCAGAGAATACTGTTCTGGGATATCTGAAGATTATTACGTCAGGGAAGTATTATGTACTCTATGCCAGTGGTTACCAACCCCCGGGCCTCAGACTGGTACTGGTCCGTAGTCTGTTAGGAACCTGGGTGCACAGCAGGAGGTGAGCAGCAGGCAAGGAAGTGAAGCTTCATCTGTATTTATAGCCGCTCCCCATCGCTCACATCACTGCATAAGCTCCGCCTCCTGTCAGATATGCCGGGGCATTAGATTCTCACAGGAGTGTGAACACTACTGTAAATTGCTCATGTGCGGGATCCAGGTTGCGGCTCCTTATGAGAATCTAATGCCTGATGATCTGAGGAGGAGCTGAGGCAGTGATGCTAGTGCTGGGGAGTGGCTGCAAATACAGATTTTCATTAGCAGAGAGGTTTGACTGCACAATAAATGTAATGTGCTTGAATCATCCAGAAACCATCCTCCCAGTCCCCTTCAACCCCTGCATCAGTCCATGGAAAACTTGTCTTCCATGACACTGGTTCCTGGTGCCAAAGAGTTTGGGGACTGCTGCTCTATGCCATTCTTGGAGACTTACAGCGTACCTATTAAAGTCCATCAAATTCGTTTAGTCCAATTGTTTCCAAACCTTAACATAAGGATTGAACATAAGGATTTTTTTTTTTTTTTTGCAGACCATCTATGAGCAGCCTATGGAATAATAACTCAGCTTGGTAAGCTATGTACTGGTGAATTCTAAGCTCCTTTTGTGCTTCAACAACATGAGCTTCTTCTACCTCAGCCTTTCCCAAGAGTGCAGGTGAAATAATGGACAGGTCAGTGGGCAACATGAGGCCGGAAGACAGAGATGGGGCTAAGGACTGCTATAGGTTGGGAAAACTGTGTGTCTGGCCTAATGGCACAGATTTGAAAAGGTCAGGTGGGCAGCAAGGTTGATTCCAGAGAGATCATCTGGGAAGCAAAGGTTGCATAGTCTATACAGCCAGAGAGCAGATGCCCAAAGCCAAAACTGCAGCACAGAGAAGAGAGACACTGGTGTGAGAGCCGATTATAAGGAGTCTATACTGTCTCCTTTCTTTGATTATTCTCTACCGTGAATAGACGGTTTCAGGATGCAAAGGAGTGTGCTTTAGGCAAGAATCAGAACTACAGAGGTGAGTCTAGTTCCTCATAAGGCAGGGAAGAGATGAGCAAATCCTAGGGGTTTTTTGCCCTCAAACAAATTTAAGAACTGCTCCTTCTCAGGGATGCTGGTTTTTGCCCACTATCCAGGTAGAAGCACTCATATCTGTGTAGTCATGTGACCTGTACCCCTAAAGTTGTACAGTACACATCCTGGGAAACTGTATACAGCATCCCTGCCTCCTTTGTAAGCACTAGAAAGTAAAAGTGTACATCTCAGAGCTGAAAAAAAATCCTTAAAGATCATCTTGTTCAGTCTCCTCATTTTAAAGATATGAAAACAAAGACCTAAAACACATTCCACGTCACACTGATAGGAAGTCAACAACTGAGCGAGGACTAGAAACCAGCCCTCTTGAATTCCCAGGGTAGGCCTTTTCCAACACATCACAGTTTTATTTACTTTTTCATACCAAGAAATCCAGTTTACATCGCTGTAGTAGCATTTATAAAAAATGTATTTTCAACACATTAAAGGGAGAAAAATGAAGAGAAAGGAGAGCTTCGGGTCAATAAATGATCACTCGGGTCCCTTCCAGATCCCATCCTCCAAGGTTCTGCTCTTCTCCCCTCTCTCTGTCTTAAACTCTGACTCTAGACGACGCGCTGACATCTCACAAGCCACAAAGGATGCAGCATGAAAAGGCAGAAGTGACTCCACCCTCTGCTGTATTTTTATAGCCTTCCCCCAAACCACAGTTCTCACCGGAAGCCTAAGAACTAGCTTCAAAATCATGTGCTGGTAAGTCAAGAGGGAAAAAAATCATGTAAAAGATACAACTCATGAAAGCAAATAATCATTTAGTTTCTGTTTTAAAGTTGGCTTATATTCCAGCAAGTTCTCCTCAGTTCTCATATTTAGAACAGTGATTTCAAAGCTTCTTAAGTTTTTGCCTTAAGGAAAAAAATAAGAGAATCCATATATCAGAAAAATTCCAACCTCATTCTCTGAGATGACATTGCAAAACCTTATTTTATAACCATTTCTAGTCATGTCTTGTATTGGCCATACTTTCAATGCATTTTAATCAGGATTCATAAATCTTAATGGTTTAAAACCCCTAGATTAGAGTTTGGGCAGCATGCTGTTTTTTTACTATCAAGAAAATATAACAGAAAAAACTAATTGTATCATCTGTCCTCCATGAAACAGATTCTAACGCATAAACAGTTGTAGAAGTGTCTTAAAAGTCACAGAATAATTCATAGCATCCCAGTGAATAGTCAATGAAATGACTTAGTTAAGCTACTGCTGAAAAACAAATTAATTTCCAGATATCTACCTTTCTTTACATGTCAGAACACCTGTGAGATGCTCTCAAGGCTAACCATGCTGTTGGCGGAGCCTTCAGAGGAGGCCTGGCCCTGCCCACACTTTGATTTCAGACTTCTAGCCTCCAGACTAGAAGAGAATAAATTTCTGTCTATGACACCCTGTTTGTGGTACTTTGCCATGGCAGCCCTGGGATGCTAATATAGGCAGTAATCAAAGAAGTAATCAAAGTCTTTGTCCTAGCTAGTTGCCATCAATAGGGAAAATTAAAGCTTTCTTAGCAATTTCAGACACCCTGGAAGTTGACAGATAGTTTGAAAGCCATATTAATTTTTTGCTTTTTATTTTCTTTTTGCTACATATACTCAGTACATCATTATCAAGTGTGACACACTTTACTTTTTGGTGAGAAAATCTGTTACACCTCAAACACTTTCTTCACTTAGCTTCCAGGACACCACCCTGGCCTGGTTTTCCTTCTACTGCACCAGTTGACTCTTTTCTGTACCTTTGGCTGGTTCTTCTTTTCCCTAGTCTCCTAAGGGAGAAGCGAACAGTCCTCAATTGTCTCCTATAATATTCTCTAGCTAGACTTGTGTTCTCATTCAGCCTCCCGGCTTAAATAACATTGCCATCCATTTGTCTTTAATTTCTATTTTCAGTTTGGACCCCTCTCTGCAACTCCCGACAAGTAAATCCAACTGCCAACTCAACTCCTCTACTTGACTAATTGATCTCTTAAACTCAAAATGTCTAAAACTGACATTGAAGTTTCTTCCTCTCATAGCCTTCCTCTTCTGAATGGACTGCAACTTCATCTTTCCAGTGGATCCCAGCAAAATCTGTACGATAATCCCCAATGCCTCTTTCTTTCATGCTCCATGTCCAGTCTGTTAGGAAATTCTGTTTGCTCCACTTAATTCAAAATGCATCCAGAATCCAATCACTTCTAATCACTTCCACTGCTTCCATCTGTTACCCAGTGCTATGGTCTGAATGTCTGTGTCCCCCCCCGAAATTCATATGATGACATCCTAACCCCCAAGGTGATGGCATGAGGAGGCGGGGCCTTTGGGGAGCTGATTAGATCACGAGAGCAGAGCCCTCATGAGTGAGATTAGTGTGTTATATAACAGGCCCAAGGGAACTCACTCACCCCTTCCACCAGGTGAGGACACAGCAAGCAGTCGGCAGTTTGCAACCTGGAAGAAGGCTGTCACCAGAACCTGACCATGCTGGCACCTGGATCTCCAAAACTGTGAGAAATAAATTTCTGCTGTTTCTAAGCTATCCAGTTTAAGGTATTTTGTTATAGCCACCTGGACATACTAAGATACAGACGTATCAACACAACAGGCAGAGATCCTTTTAAAATGAAAGTCAGATTGTATTTACTCCTTTTTTCAAAATCCTGCAGCACCTCCCCATGTACCTCAGAGTAAAGCCAGAGTCTGCACACAGCCTACGAAGTCTCACCTGAGCTTCCCACCCAGTCCCCACACACCTCAGCATCCGCCCTTACCTCGCCTGCTCTCCCTTTGCTCCCACGACACTCATGTCCCTGCTCTTCCTCGAGCGTGGCGTGGGTGCTCTGCCTAACGGCCATGTCCTCTACCCAGAGCACTCTTCACCCAATCACCTGCTTGGCTAACTCTACTGCCTTCATCAAGTCTTTGCCCAAATCTTACTTTCTCGTTGAGGCCTACCCTGACCATCCCCTTTAAAACTGCACCCTCAGTCCCCCCACTCTGGAATTTCCTTTCCGTGCTCTAATTTTATCTTTTTTCTGCAGTGCTTACCCATTCTAACATGCCATGATTTACTGTGTCTACTGCTTATTATCTCTCCCCTCACTGGACTGTACACTCCATGAGGACAAGGATCTTCGCCTGTTCTGTTCTCGATGTATCTCAAAAACCCAGAATGGTGCTGGGCACACAAGGGCTCACAGTAAACATGTCTTGAATAAGTGAATGATGATGGGCTGCTAAGATAACAATACATAATGGGTTCCATACAGTTTCCAGCAGGAAAACCACAATCCATTGCTCGTTCTCCTACTGAGTGTTAGCCTAGAAACAAAGACCTTCGCTTCACACATGAGAAAATGTAGGCCCAGGTCCTGGAGGACGTTGGTTTCCAGCCTCTACCACGGCACTTTCCCTACCCCAGGCTGTGGTGCTTCATGACAGCTGCAGTGAGAGTGTGTGTGGGTACATGTGCGTGCGTGCATGTGGTCTGCCTGCCTCGCCCAAAGGAGCGTGTTTGTGCTTTGAGAATTGTGCCTATCTATGGAGAAGACCACATATAACAAGGGTGCTCAGAGGAAATACAGAATACACTCTTTCATTCCCATCCTTTTTTCCTTAGGAAATAGGAATGATGAGAAATCAACTTCCCTGTGTTCCCACGCTGGCACTGTCCAACTATGAGCAGCATGTTCCTACCCGTTGTCTCCCCCACTCCTATTGTTACAGATGACTATTCCATACTCCTATCTAAAGTCAACTTCTACATGCATTCATCAAATCCCATTCCCTCAATGGCTTTCTCCAACAATTTTTTTTCTCTTCACTGGATCATTCCAATTAACACATAAACATCCTGAAACAATCATCAATATTATAGATAAAGCCTCCCCCACCCTACTCCCAACATGACCCAGGCACTGCCCAGTGTCCCATCTGCCCACACAGGGTTTCTCGGGAGGTCCTTGGCTGTCTCCACTCTCCTTGTTCCATTCTCTCATCAGCCCACTCCAATCTGGCTTCACTCTGCCACCCTGTCAAGGCGCCTCTTGTCATCACCAATGACTTCGCCCTTGCCAGACATGAGGGTTAAACTCCATCCCCATTTTCAGGTCCTAAGTTGGGATGGGACGGAGTTGAACTCTTCCTCCTCCTTGAATCCCTTCTTTATTGATGTCCAGGGCATCATTCTCTCCCTTTTTCAGTGTCCTGTGCTGGATCCTCCTCTCCCCCAATCTCAGGGAGGACTTCATGACCAGTCCTTGGACTTCTCCTCCATTTACAATTAATTTCTATGTGTTCTCATCTAATCCCACACTTTAAACACCATATACATGTGCATGAGTCTCAATTCCAGATACTCACCTGGACTTTTCCCCTGAACACCAGCCACGTTTGCAAGGCCAGCCTGCTCAACCTCTCCCCTTGGGCAAACATTTCTAACTAATGTGTCCAAAACCACATTCTGTTTTCTCCCTACAAAATTTGCTCCACTACAGTGTTCCCCAAATCATTAAAGGGAAACTCTGGTCCAGTTGCTCAGACCAAAAACCTCAAAGTCATCCTTGACTTCTCTCACAGCAAATCCTGCTGGGTCTATGTGCAGAGTATTTCCAGACTATGAAGTGCCTGATCACTACCACCCTGAGCCCAGGCACCATCACTGCCCACCTGGATTGTCTCAGCAGGCACTGCCTAAGAGCCTCCCTGCCTAGCACTTCCTTGCTGGCCTGGGGCTTTCCCTCAAACATGGACACCCTCCTTTGGGCAAGGCAGACAGATTGCCCCCCACACACACACACACATGCTGTAAAATTAGAGCAGGAATTTGGAATGTGGGACTGAGGATGCAGTTTTAAATAGGATGATCAGGGTGGGCCTCAGTGAGAAAGTTAAGATTTCAGTGCAGGGAAAGCCATTGAACAGGAAGTCTCTGACTGCTCTTTCCCCTAGAGTAAAACCCAAAGTCCTCATGTCGGCCTGTGATCCCATGTGATGTGCCTTTAGTCCCTTTCAAATGTCACCCCTGACTACCACTCCCCTGGCAGGCTCTGCCTCAGGTGAGCTGGCTCAATGCCTGATCCCAGGGCCAGCCTGCCCCCACCTCAAAGTTTCTGTACCATCCAGAATGCCCTTCTCCTGCCACCACAGGCTTCATTCCCTTTCCATTCTCTGCAGAAATGCTACCCTAGAAAAGAGGCCTTCCCAACCACCCCGTATCAAACACCACCCCACCCCTCCCACACCTGCTGGCTACAATTTTAAGAACTCAAATCTTTGTTAAAAAGAGAGTAAGTATGGCTCCCATCCTTAGGAGATGGTTGAGAGGATTCCCTCAGATGACGTAAATGAGTTATGTGGCACCTACCTGGCATTCAACAAACGGTTGTAGCTACTGATAGCATCCAAAAGAGGAAGCGACTACAACAGAGATAAAGCTTCCATCTCTAGCCTTTCTGTTTAATCAGCACATCTCATGTTCTAATCTCTTCCCCTCAAGAATGAGAGTAGTGAGGGCTGCAAAAATTACAGGCAACTAACACAAATTCTCCCACTTTAAATGCTTAACGAAACCATTCATAAGGCTCTTTCAGGCTTAGTAAGAGTCCTACTTCATTAGGTTAACTATTTTTGCTCCTCTCTAAGCCAAATGAAAAGATCTTCTATAAATTTTGAAACAAAAGCCAATACCTCCACCAAATTGTGGATCTTGCAGCCATCTTCTTGGATTAACTTGTATTTTTTAGTGAACAAATCACCCTTGTCCTCCAAAGTCAAGGCCGTGTCTCTTCTGTGCTCTCTCCTGGGAGGGAGCATACACCCAGCCCAGGCCCGCATGGTCTGCTGGATGGCCTTCACGTTGTTCTGCGCCTGCTCCGCCCTGCGCTCCAGCTCGGAGGTGGTTGCCCTCACGCCCTCGATGTAGTGCCAGCAGTCATCGCGCCAGGTCAGCCACGTGGTGGCTGCTGTCAGCTGCTCGTCCACAGCCCTCAGCTCTTCTTCAATCAGGGGGTATTCAACTCCCAGCAGAGTCTGTTTCAGCTTATTATACCCTTGCACAAGAAGGTCAAGATTGCCAATGTACTAAGCAAAGAAAAGCCCAAAACAAACAGGGTCAGATATGTTAGCTGTTTTCTCTTAGAAGTATAAAAATGCCATAGGTCTATGTGTTAATAATTAAAATACAACATATTCCTATTCTATTCTAACCTCTGAAACCACAAACCTTTAAAATAGTGTTTCTTTTGTTGAAGATGGCTAAAGCAGAATCCGGTATGTCTGGTTTCTTCAACATCAAAAGGTATTTCACTTCTCTCAACACAGCCACTAGCTATTAAAAGAAAATCAAATATTTAGGCATATCATTCTATTTTAATATAAGTTTAAGTTGAAACACTTAAAATTTCATCCAATGATTATTATACTTCAAAATTATCAAGGTAGATAGGTTTTGTTTTATATGGCTTTTAAATTTTTTTAATTTTTAATTATCGTGGATATGTAATAACTGAACATATTTATGGGGTACATGTGATATTCTGATGCAGGCATACAATGTGTAAATGATGCAATCAGGGTAATTGGGGTATCCATCACCTCAAGCGCTTATCATTTCTTTGTGTTAAAAACATTCGAATTTAACTCTTTTAGTTATTTGAAATATACAAAAAAATTGTGCTAATTATAGTTGCCCGAAACATGCTTTTTAAAAGCAAAAACCATACATCCCATGATATAATAAAGGTATGTGAGCTCTCTCTAATGCATCTCAGGAAATTAGTTTCTGTAAATTGTTTTTATGAAATCAGAAGGTAGAAAGAATCCTCGGTTCTCCAGATTATATATATGTATGTGTGCTGAGTTTTATTAGCAAAATAAAGCAATGCTATTCTTTGTATACATTTTAGGGAAACAGATCAGAATTAGGGTGTAGATTATGACTACCAAAGCCAGCGAGGCTATCTTTCCCACCTCCCAGGCATGCATTTGGACTGTCATGAAAGACTTTGCCTAATCACTAGCAATAAATATATAAGCTTCACTACCTAAAAATTCAGCCAGATATTTAAGCTACTTCGTTTTTTTGTCATGGAAACTTACAAATAGACATTCTTATAAGCTTGCCCTTTACTGTAAAGCATATTCATGGCAGGTAAATAGAAAAGAAAGTTTATTCTGTACCTCTTATCTAGAAAACTACTAGACTGAGAGATAGGTTGTTTAAAATATAAACAAATACATATACACACATATATACACACTCCTAACATTTACTAAATATATACACATATTGAAAAAATATAGATAGAATGAACAATATTTGGTAACACAACGAAAATCACTATAATTGACAATAAGTTAGGGTGTACTTTAAAATAACTGAAAGAGTAGAACTGGAATGTTCCTAACACAAAGAAATGATAAATGTCTGAGATGATGGGTATCCCAATTATCCTGATTTGATGAATTCACATCGTATGCCTCTATCAAAGATCACATGTGCCCTATAAGGATATACAACTATTATATACCCATAATAATTCAAAATAAAAAAAAGTTGTTCAGACCCTCTGAAAGTCAAGGAAATTCAAATTAATATAATGATATACCTTTATTCCTCTACTAAATTAGAGGGAAAAGGTAGTATTAAGAGTACTCCATCAGAACTAGAGATGATACATTGTAAACTGGCACATGATTTGAAACATGATTGGTAATGTGTATCAAACTACATAATTTTTCTAATTATTTGATTCAAGTAATCTCACTCCTGATAATCTATACTAAGGAAATAACTGAAAATACTTAAAAAAAGAGAGATAAATAAAAGTATTTTTGAACTGTTTTTTTAAATAGTGACAAATGGAAAAATAACTAGCAATTGGAAAATATTAGATAAACTATTGCACAACCTCTAGATGAAGTATTATATAGACATCAAAATGATGATTTTTAAGGAATAACATAAAATCACCTATAATAAAGGGTGAAAAATACAGTATACAAAGATATCCAACCTTTTCCATAAAGGGCAGGGTAATAAATATTTTTTGGCTTTGTGGGTTGTGTTATCTCTGTAGCAGCTTCTCAACTTTGCTTTGTAATGTGAACACAGCCATAGAGAATTTGTAAACAAATTAACATGGCTGTGTTTCAATAAAACTTTATTTCCAAAAGCACGACAACGAGCCATAGTTTGCTATCCCTGGCCTAGGGATGTATAAGCAATAAATTATCTTTACTCCAAATTGTCTAGCACAATTCTGTTGGGACTAGGCAAGAAAGGTACCTGTCATTCTAAAACAGTTATGCCTGTGACTTCAGAAGACTGTCTGGTAAAACACTTTTTGAGGAATAATGATAATGATGATGATGATAACTGCAGCTATACTCTATTTAGCTTCCCAAAGTTTCTTCTACTGTTCTTCCTAAAGTTAAATGATGTCACGATGTTTCACAAATAAAGAAATGTGTGACGTGTGATTTCATGTGTGATCAAAGTGCTCTGTTCTTTTAGGCATGTCATATGTATATTTTTTTCACTTAAAGGATCATTTTGCAATTTTACCATTTCTACATTTTAACTATGCATTAGCAAAGTATTTAAAACAATGTCATATTAAAGTTAGTAATGAGTTGAATTTGTTTTCTCTTACTGCTATGGTCAAGTAGAGTGATAGAGCTCAGTCTTAAATGTAATTTCTGTACTTGCTATCAAGATCATAAAAAAATCACAAATTAGATAACATTTCAGAAGGAAGGTGTTGATGGGTGAATTATTTCCTGTTTTTGTTAACTTCAACTTTTCCTAAGACTTGCACATTTTTTATTCCATAGTGGCTAAGATTGCTGTAATTTTCATGGCTTTGCACATTTTTTTGGCAATAAGATTGAACATTTAAATGTATATATATACACACATGTATATTGTATTATATAATTTTATATACATGCATATGTAAATGGAAATAAAGTTTCATTGTTACATAACACAATGAAATTATGAGAAAAATAGATTTATTGAAAAATATATGAAATTTCCCTTTGTTACTTGACTTATCATGTGATAACAAAAGACCTATTCAATAAAGATAATATTCATCCTGGATATTATTTCACTGTTAATATTACTTCTTGTATTAATATGTTGTTTTAGCTTTTTATAAAAATTATTTTTCTAATTACCATCAATTTAATTACCATGTATAAGCTTATTGTCCTTTGAAAGAAATTACAATAGATCAAAATTTATCACTGTTCACCAAAAGTATGACAGGTTTTTCATTGTAAATGGTCTGTGGATTCCTCAAATTTTATATGATGAAATTTTAACTAACTAAAAAAAACTGGTATATTTAATGAATATATTCAGGCCAGAAACCATCTGGTAAAGGCTAATGATTTAATTCAGTGGAGCTAACATTTACTAAGTGTTACCAAGTGCCAGACACTACACCAGAAACAGAACACAAAGATGAAATGAAATGGATCCTAGTCACAGTAGCTCATTATCTAGAAATAATCATGAGATGAAATAATAAAGGGTAATTAATATAGAATTTGAGAAATCCCTAAAACAAAGACCTACTAGAAATTGTTTACAGCTATATTCCTCACAGCACTGACATTTTCCCAAAATAAATTATAAATGACTGGAAGTATCAGGAGTATATTTATAATAAAAAGGGCATCTATAAAATAACTTTAAAAATCAAATTCCTACCTTTGGGTCAAAGTTGACGCTGAGAAGACCATTTATGGCACTAAATTTAACCAACGGTTGATTCAAATTGAACTCACAGATTTCATCCACATTACTTTTCCATTCATTATAGATATGATTTTCAAATTGGTCTAGCAAAGTGGTCATTTCAACATACTTCTGATAAACTATGGCATTATCAGGATGGCCCAAGAACCTGCAGGAATAAAGTTTTACTACTTGCATGTGTATGTGTATGTGTGTATGTATGCGTGTGTGTATGCTTTTAGCTTAATTATTTTACAATATATAAAATATGGTAATAAACTATAAGAAATCAGGAAGAGAAACAATAAAGATCAAATAATACTTATAAATTGTTTTTTCTTTAAAAGGTAGAGTTATTAAATGAAGGGAACTCCAAAGATTTTACTAAATGTCAATAGCAACAAGTTACCAATTCCTACAAATGAAAGAAAAAGGCACAAAGGACTGCATAATAAAAGAAGTATCAGTTATTGAAGGAAGGAAAAACAATAACGAAAAACTCCAAACCTACTGTGGGTGAAAAGAAAAAAGGATCTGAAAATGTGTAAACATATGAATTTATGAGTCCCATCAAAATTATTCCAAAACCACAGGGACAAATCTCTCTCCACAAGCCCGACTAGTGAAAGAAGTGAAATAAGGCAATGACTTTTTAAGTGCTAATATGAAGAGCTCATTGTGCTACATAAAAATCACCCCATAACATTGGGATAACTTGCCATGCACTGAGTCTAACCACTTACAGATAATGGAGAGATGCAAAGTTTGACCAAAACATCTGAAGTCGTTCAAGGACCTCTTTGGCCCATTTGATATTTCCTGAGGTAAATGGCATATTCTTGTTAAGAACCACATGTCCATGTTCAATCTGCAAGTTGATATTTTGGTGAAAAGGAAGAAAGGGAACATTTAATCAGATTGCTTTAAGCAATTGTTCATTCTGGTACTTTTACAGTAGTATATGTGTTTAATAACTTGGTTAGGTTAGTAGAAGAGTTACAGTCCTAAAGTAGATTCTCCATCTCCATGACGAAACTAATTAAGTAAAAGCATAAAAATTTTAGCACCTATATCTAACATTTAGATATAATCAAATATAGTTCTAGTTGATGGCCATTATCTACAAAAAATGACATTGTGGATGTGTTCAACCTTACCCACCACTTACCTGTTTCACGTGTGTATTATACAATTGCTTACACGTATCCAACTCTGTATTAAACATATGCACGAGTGTGCTGTAATGTGGGCTGAAAATTTCCATGACAACTGGTTTCTCTAGAAAATTTCCAAATATGGTCAAAAGCTATAAAAATCAAAGTTAAAGAAAGGTTAAGAATTATCAGTTTTTAATACAAATACTGAGCTCAGAATTTTCCCCATTAAACCTCTTGCATGACTAGATAGAGGAAAAGTCTAGAACCCTAAAAATATCCTGCAATGCCTCAAAATGTAAAACCTATTTTTGTGTCTCCCTAAAATTTCTACACATCCAATAAAAGAAAATCTAGATGTAAAATAATTTTCCTTCCTCAGTGGAAATCAAGAAGAGTCAGAAACGAACCGCTGTTAGCGATTTCTGTTCCCAGCTACTACTACTTCCTGTTGGGCGCTAGGAAATGTTTTAGAAGCTGCTTTGCGGGTATAAGAACAGAAGAAAGATTCATGTACTTATTTGTTTTGCCCTCCTACAGATGTATCTATTAGATATAAATAACCATATCCCTATTGAGGACCTCCAGGTCACACCATCAATAATTATAGCAGATGCACCAGCCACAGTGAATGCCCTACCCAGGGCCCCAGGTGCATCCACGTGCCCTAGCCACCCCCAACAGTGGCCTGGGGCGGCAGTGGTGACTGTTCCAAGGACAAGCACTCTACAGGTGGATGACTGCTTTGACAGGAATGCTCTGGCTCAAACCAATGCCCTGAGCTGATCAGATTCTCTCTTTCTCAGAGCGTCAGGGCATGGCTGGCAGAATCCATGCTGGCGACAGTCATGAGTGAGCAAAAACCAGTGGCAAGCAGAGGAAGCTGGACAGTGGGGGACAGAAAAAAGCAGACATGTGGACGGAAGAGGATCACATTACCAGTGAAGCAGAGGAATGAAGGCCCACCAACTCTTCTTGCTTAGTCAGTGGACCCCCTAGAGTTCAAGCTACCTTTCCCTGCCAGTGGCCACAAAGCTTAGCTGTCTAGCAAGCCTACCCTTGGCTTCCTGGTAGCCTCCCATCTTGTGTGTACTTCCCAGTGTGGATTCTTTAGTGTGCTAACAGGTAGCTTTCTTCACAAGAAAATGATGTAATTAAAAAACATATTTTTACAGAACCAATGTTTCTATAGTGCTATATGTCAGGAACTCTATGTTAAGGGCCTTTAAAATGCTGTTATTACCACATGCTCCAAGTGAGGAAACTGAGTTCTGGGAAGGAAGTAACATGCCCAAATTCACACAGCTAATGGCAGCACAGCTGGGATTTGAACCCAGGCGGTCTGGCACCTGGGTCTGTGCTTCAGTGTAGCCTCTTATCAGCTAAGGTGCCATGAAAAGTTATGCTATTTTGTTATTTGATTACTCTGTGTGGGCTTCATGATAATGAGTTATTAGACCTGCAGAGCAAAAGAGCTTTTCTCTTTTCCTTGGGAAAATATGTGTCCCCCAAAACTCGATTTTAAAAACAGCTTTATAATAAAAATTTTTTAAACATTTTCATAAACTACATTCACTGAAAAGAAAATCATCATTTAAAAAATTACAGAAACTAAAATGTAACTCTAACTATACCTTAGAGGCCAATTCAGACAAACACATTCCAGCTTTTTCTGGTAACATCAATTATAACTACAGTAGAAACCGTTAAGTGTTTTTAAATCCACTTGGTTAGCTGCTACCTAGCAAAACGTAAATTATTAACTTTCTTCTCATAGCCATTGTTTTGTTGAGTTAGGCTTCATGTAAAAATTCAAAAGTGAATACTGCCTCATAGATTTAACAAAAAAGTGTACTCCAATGATTGGAAAATACATTTATTTCACAATATTATTTTTCAAACACTTATCATATTGACCACAACTGAAACAATACCAGAAGCTTCCTAGATTCATCACATCTTGCCTTCCCTGCTTAGTGGTCCTTAACTCCAAGTATAAAAGTGAAAAGACACAGAGAAAATATTCTTGTGGGTCAGGCATAATGGCTCTCACCTGTAATCCCAGCACTTTGGGAGGCTGAGGCAGGAGGATTGTTTGAGGCCAGGAGTTCAAGACCAGCCTGGGCAACTTAGTGACACCCTGTTTCTACATAATTTTTTTTTTTTTAAATTAGCCGGGTGTGGTATGCACTTATAGTCCAGTTACTCAGGAGGCTGAGGTGGGAGGATTGCTTGAGCCCAAGAGTTCAAGATTATAGTGAGCTATGATTGGGCCACTGTACTCCAGCCTGGGAGACAGAGCGAGACCCTGTCTCCAAAACAAAAAACAACAACAAAAATTCTTTTGGGAGGTTTTAAAGCCAAAAAATAGTAAGAAAAGTCTCAACCTTTAGGCAGTTTACATTGCCATAATTATTCATCATCACAAATATTTAAAAGTTACTTCTCCAGGATGAGAATAATGGCCATTTGAAACTCCTGGTTCCTTATCACAGTAGAAGAGTTATTTATGAAGAGTGCAGATGTTTTCCTTCACGTCGGCTTCAAAAGGCTAAAGATTGATTTTCACCACATGCTTGTTTTTCTAAATATCCCATTTGAGATTTGTGAGGTTTACCTTAATTTGCTTCTACTTCTCAGTTTCATTACATAATACAGTTTTTCATAACACTACTGTCACTGCTCAAAGTAGTACACATATTTTTCTTATATTTTCTTCTTTCAAAGATTTTCAAAAATCTGCAGCTACCCACATGATACACAGCTCCACAATTTAATAGCTTTCAAACACATTGCCCGAAGTCTTTTCTAGAATACTTTTTTCTTACGTACCTCAGTTTACCTTCACAGAAATTTTAGAAAGCCATCCGTTAGTATTTTGATTGGTTTCTAAAGAGCGCCAGCACTTTAGGCTTTGAAGTTCTACAGTTTCATACTATGGAAGAGTAGTGTTTAGTTCCAGTGCCCTTCCTGGCCATGTCTTTGACAACAACAGGTATGGAATCGTCATCTTCAGAGAAGAGGCTATAAATATTTCTTCCCAAAGACCAACAGTCAATGGTCAGGTTCATCATCCTATACCTACGGGTGAAATCATTCTCTCCCTAAGTACACGAGCCCATAGTTGTTTCTTCTGCCGTTGCTCTTCCAGCAACTCACCCTCATCATTGTATCATTTCAATACTCAGACTACCGGTCAGTCCACTTCAGCTCAAGCAGTCATGAAACGCCTGTTTGTACGGGGTACCGCAGAAGGTGACCGCAACCGAACAAAAGCCACAGACGATGCCCCGCCCTCACAGAGCTTATGACAGCAGGCTCTCGGCTGATCGTTTTTCAGTATATGGGTACAAATGTGTGGAAAGTTAAAGAAAAAAATATATAAAAATGAGAGATAAAAATTTTTTAGGAAAAAATGAACTGGTATGTACTGTAACGGAATCCATATTAACGGTTGTTAGAACAGAGACTGGAATTTGAAATGGAAGGAGCCTCTGTAATTGAGATTTCACTCTACATTCTTTTCTACAGTTATTTATCAAAGCATGAAAGAAAACTAGTTCCAGTAACAGAGAATACGGCAGACTGCTATACAGACATTAAGAAATAATATTGTTGAATTCTGCTATAAAGGCGAGAAAAATATCTATGGCTCTTTACTAAGTGGAAAAGGTTATAATAGAGGATCAGAATACAATGTCATTTTTGTCAAAGGGAAATATGTGTGCGTATCTAGTCAAAGAAAAAATAGTAGCCGTATTAAATAGTAATTGTACCTGAGAGATGAGATAACTGGTCAATTTATAACAACAGGCTATATATTTTGACCAACAGCATCTCAGTCTTATCAAAGAGTTCTTAAAAAACAAAGAACTATTTCATCCTCATGAATTCTCCAGGTTAAAGTGCTTAACTTGGGCCAGAGGATACTGGTGGTTTCACCATTGTCTGTCCAATTCATTTGAATTTGAAGGTCAAAATCAAACAGCATCTTTTAAAAGTCTGTGTCTGCTATTTTGTTTGCACCGTCATTCTCAATGAACTGTGCCCATGAGTTCCTGGCTGTGTTTCTCCTGTTACTGAATCCTCAATTCTTCTTTTGGGATGTCATCTAATTGTCTTCTTTGAGAAGTTTCACACGGCATCCCTATTTCTCATATTATAAGCTTTCCATTCGGGTTGACTATCAAGATGATTTTCTTCTATGCAACTTTTTCTTTTTAATGGAGACAGGGTCTCGCTCTGTCACCCAGGCTAGAGTGCAATGTAGTGCCACCATAGTTCACTGTAACCTTAAACTCCTGGGCTCAAGTGATTCTCTCACCTCAGCCTCCCAAGTAGCTAGGACTACAGGTGTGCACAACCATGCCCAGCTAATTTTTTTATTTTGTTGTAGGGATGGGGTCTCACTATGTTGCCCAGGGTGATCTCAAACTCCTGGCCTCAAGTGATCCTCCCAAAGTGCTGGGATTACATGAGTGAGCCACTGAGCCCAGCCCTTTTATGCAGCTTTTAATACACATATTTCATTAATTCTATGACAAACATACTTTTCAATATCAACATGTTTCAATATCTCTGAAATTGGAATGCATTATACAACGAATGGCATCATAATTGTTTGGTAACATTTTTTTCTTCATTTATATACAAAATAATGGTGTGTCTGATAATCAATGATGTTTTACACCAGATTAAATACAATATATAAATTGCTACTTGTTTCAGAGTAATAAAATAGGCAGTTGAACCTAACATATATAGACAATGGCAAAGAAAAGAAATTCCCGAATTAACAGATATTTTTCACTTTTCACTGTGGCTTAATTTTGAATCAATATTTCATTGGCCAGAACAAAGCTTGCTCTAAAGGTAATGAGAAGTAAAATACTACGAATGCAAGAAAAGAACAATAGTTAAATGTCCTGAAAATGACCTTGTCCAAAGTAAACGTCATTATTCATAAGTGCATTATTCACTTTATTATTCAGTGAGCTGAATTTGAAGGGCATGTGACTAGTTAATCTAGTTAATACTCCACCTGAATCAAAAAGGAATGTATTCACCTTTTTCATCTAACATCCTAAATTATTCACTAGCAAAACATTTTTATGATAGCTTTTTCAGAACTAACCTTAAACACAGCTTCTAAACCATTGCAGTTAAAGAAACCTTCACAAAGGATTGTCCCAAGCCTTCGGTCAAAATCCAAAATTTTGGACTTAAATGCAACATAATCACTTTCAAATTCCTGTAAAATTCAAAGTAAAATATTAGTTTATAGTAAAGAATCCAACAGTGAAAATAGCAATCACATAAGTGTGATCTTACTTTTTCTTTCTCTCTCTACCTCTTTAAAGGAATTTATTTTTCATAGCAGGATCCCAGGGAAGATCAAGAAAGATCTATACCTCACTGTGTACGTGGCTGCCTTATAGGGACACTGAATGCTCAGCACTGTCACCCCATGTTTTCACAGTTCTTTTCAGGGCCCAGACCCCAACATCAGTACTTTGGTCCGTACGCTCACATATAAGCATCAGTCTGCCCTCCTTCTCCCAATCCATTTTGATTATAAATGAAAAAGTAAAGCTTTTCAAAAAAAAAAAAAAAAGAACTTATCCTCATTATAACTTAAGTCTATCTGTAATTTTAAATACAAATGTTTTTGTTTGTTTTTCATGGAGTGGAAAACCTACATGGAAACACTATTTCTTTAGGTGAGAACTAAAACCCACAGATCTGTAAGAAAGTATCATTAGTGATACAGAGGAAAGAGAAATACTCTTCCATTTTCCCAGTTTCTTATTAAAATGCAGTTAACAACCCCCAGTTTCCTCCTAATACATCACCACCCACTCCCATAATTAGAAAGAATGAAGCAGTAAGAGAGTTACTATCATTCTCCTATCATTGCAGCTCACAGTCTTCAGTGCAGAAGTCCCAGGAATTCAGAAACACTTTGGTGCTTTGCAGTCAAGAGCCCCCTGATGTGCCTGCCACAGATTTAACATAATGAAGGCCTTTGCCACCACCGTAAACTGAGGCTCCAACTATTAATAATAATGATAGTAACAGTAATACTGACAGCTAACATTCAGTTCTGTTCCAAATGCTTTACATTACTAATCCGATTCTCAAACAACATGAGATACAGGTTTGCAGGAGACAACAAACTCAGAGAAGTTAAATGATTTGCCAAAGACCACATCATTGGTAAACGGCAGTGCCAGAATTTAAAACCATACAGTCTGGTTTGAGAGCCCACACTCTCAACTATGATGCTGTGTTTCTACGAAGGAATGTACCTGCTAGGGCTTGAATGTTTCTGTCCTCACAAAATTCAAATGCTGAGATCCTAATCCTCAAGGTGATGGCATTAGGAAGTGGTGCCTTTGGGAGATGATTAGGTAAGGAGGGAAGAACCCTCACAAATGGGATTAGTACCCCTTGCAAAAGAGGGCCTGGGAGAAACCGCTCAGTCCTTCCATCATGTGAGCAGAGCTGGAAGGCATCATCTATGTACCAGAAAGCAGCCCTCACCAGACACTGAATCTGCTGGCACCTTGATCTTGCACTTCTCAGCCTTCAGAACTGCAAAACATAAATTTCTGTTGTTTATAAGCTACGCAGTTTATGGTATTTTGTTATAGTAGCCTGAACAGACCAAGACAGCACCTTATGTGAAATTCAACACACACCGAAAAACAAAGTATAACAACAAAGTTCTAGAACACTGTGTGTCATACACTGCAATGCTATATTTAGCATCAAGCAGTCTCCACTGCTTCTGAATTAGAGCCAAGCAATCTCTTCATTCAAGGATCATTGACTTTTAAAGGTAAACACAACTTCTTAACAAGTTTTAACAAGCCTAACTTATCCCTCTTTTCTGCATGGTAACAAAGAACATACAATTTAAGATCTTCAAACATTAATTGAACACTTAGAGACAAGTAAATATCTCAGGGAGAGGAAAAATGCTAATCTCCATCCTGATACTCTTCCTCACCCCCTCCCTCCTCAACCATTCTTTCCTGAAACCAAACTTAGAACGGCACGCGGGACCTCTCCCTTAGGATGTCCCACGGGAAATTCACACTGATCTTGTACAAATGTGAACTCATCTTCTCTACAAAGCTGCTTCCCTTTTTACATATCCTAACACAAACCTGGCAACCTGTTTGACTCCTCTGTCAAGTGCTATCAATGTTATTGCCTAATTATTTCTGGAATACTCCGCCATGTTCCATTTCTCTAGGCACACCCCGGTCTGAATCACCGTTACTATTCATCTAGATTTCTATTAACCACTTTCTAACTACTCTCTCTGCCTCGTCTTGTTCTGATTCATCTTCCAAACTGCAGCCTAAATAATCTTTCTGAAATAGAAATCTTACGTGACTCTCTTATTCATAATCCTCCAATTCATAATCTCAACTTGGAATCCTCAATTTCCTAGGAAAAAGACCAAAGACTTTAGCATAATCCACAAAGCCCTATGTAGTCTGGACCCTACTTACTCCCTCTAATTATTCTGCCACTGCCCCCAGTTTCACACTCCAGGAGCTAGCCAACCTGCCTTATCACATTCTCTCTCTCTCACCCACTCCTCATCTGCTTCTTTTCTATTTATGTGACAGGTCTCAGTTTACTCTTCACCTCCTCTGAAAAGGGGCCCTGTGAAAATGTTCTCACAGCATTCTGTAACTCAAATTCATTTTCTGTATCAATGAACACAATTATGGAACTTTTCTTCTTTGGTCCATTAAGAGGAGGATTACACTGATTTCAATTATTGAACCAAACTTGTATCTCTAGAATCAATCACACATGGACGTGGTATATAATTCTTTTAATATTGGTGGGAATGTAGATTGGTACAGCCATTATGGAAAACAACATGGAGATTCCTAAAGAAATTAAAAATAGAACTGCCATATGACCCAGCAATCCCTCTGCTGGGTATATCTCTAAAGGAGATGAAATCACTATCTCGCAAAGATATCTGCACTCCCATGTTCATTGCGGCAATATTCACAACAGCCCAGATACGGAAACAGCCCATTCATAAGTGAGAACATGCAGCATTTACTTCTCTGTTCCTGAGTTACTTCACTTATGGATCGTAGCGGCAGTATCTGTGATAGCCGAAAGGTGGAAGCAATCCAAGTATCCATCAACAGATAGACAAAACGCCATATATACACACAATGAAATAAAACATGGATAAACCTTAAAAACATTATGCTAAGTGAAATAAGACAGCCTCAAAAGGACAAATATTGTATAATTCCACTTACATGCGGTACACTTAGTCAAATTTATAGAGACAGAAAGTAGAATAGTGGTCAGCAGGGCCCGGAGAGGTAAGGGAGAATGAGGAGTTATTGCTTAATGGGTAAGGCATTTTGGTTTAGGATGATAAAGTTCTGGAGATGGATGGTGGTGATGGTCGCAGAAGAATGTGAATGTACCTCACGCCACTGAACTATATACTTTAAAAAGGTTAAAATAGTAAATTTTGTGTTATGTATATTTTACAATAAAAAAGGAATGAAATTCAGATACACATTACGATGTGGATGAAGATTGAAGACATTATGTGAAGAGAAAAAAGCTTATCATGAAAGGAAAAATACTACATGATTCCACTTATATAAGGTACCTAGAATAGTCAAATTCACAGAGACAGAAAGTGGAATAAAGGTTTCCAGGAGCTGGAGGGAGGGAAAAATGAGGAGTCATTGTTTGATGAGTAGAAAGTTTCTATTTGGGATGATGAAAAAGTTCTGGAAGTAGGCAGTAGGGATGGTTGCACAACATTGTACATGTACTTAATGCCACTTAAAATGATTTAAATGATAAATTTTATATAATATATATTTTGCCACAATTTCTTAAGGCAAAAAAAGAAAAGTCTTACCTTCCTTTTGGTCCCTTTATCCCCTTCCATTTATAATATAATGGTCTTAAATATTTAGAATCAGTGTTATAATTTTTCCTTCCACCATCAAACATAATTTAGAGAACACATGCTGCGTAGGAAAATCTACTGTTATACATATTTTTTCCTGCCATATTCTTCCTGGTGTTCCAAGGTTTCTTCTTTGATCATTTCCTTTCTGTACTAAAAATTTCCTTTAGTCATTTTTTAAAGATCAGTCTGCTGGCAATAAATTCTCTTTTTGTTCATTTGAAAATTCCTTCATTTCCCTTTTATTCCTGAAGAACATTTTCACTGGGTAGAGAATGCTGGGTTAAGAGCTCATTTTTAGCACCTGAAAATATTTTGCCATTTTATTGTGGCTTCCATGGTTTCCGATAAGAAATCTGCTGTCATCCAAATTGTTTTTTCTTTGTAGGTAAGTTGTCATTTCTCTCTCACCGCTTTCAAGATTTATTTTCAGATTTCAGAAGTTTAATTATGATGCCTTGGCATAAATTTCTCTGAGTTTATCCTTGGGTTTATCTTTCTTTTACTGATTCCTAATTTATTCTTGAATCTGTAGGTTTATGTTTCTTTCCAAATTTGGAAGTTTGGGGCCATTATTTGAGACCTTTTCAGTTCTACCTTCTTTCTCCTCTCTTTCTGCAAGTTCAGTGGCAAGATTAGTTCTTCTGTTAGTGTCTCATGTTCCTGAAGCAGTGCTCATTCCAGTCTATTTTCTCTCTGTTGCTCACACTGGGTGGTTTCTATTGTTCTGTCTTCCAGTTCACTGCCTCTTTCCTCCATTCTTCCATTTTGCTATTGAGCCCAATCACTGAAAATGTTTATATTTTTCAGTGCTAAAATTCCCATTTGGCTCTTCTTTGTATCTTAAATTTCTTTGCTGAGAATTTCTACTTCTTTACTGAGGCTTTCTATTTTTTCATTTGTTTCAAACACATTCATACAGGTTGAGCATCCGTTATCCGAAAATCTGAAAGGCTCCAAAATCCAAAACTTTGAACACTGACATTATGCCAATAAGTAGAAAATTCCACACATAGATACTTAACACAAACTTTGTTTCATGCACAAAATTATTACAAATATTGTGTAGGAATACCTTAGGCTCTGTACATAAGGTATACATGAAACATAAATGAATTTTTTGTTCAGTTTGGGTCTTATTCCTAAGATATTTCACTATGTATATGTAAATATCACAAAATTATTTTAAAAAATCCAAAACTGTTCCAGTCTCAAGTATTTCAGATAAGGAATACTCAATCTATAATTGCTTATTGAAGCATTTTTATCACGGCTGCTTTAAAGTCTTCGTCAGATAATTCCAACATCTCTATTATCTTGGTGTTGGCATCTGTTGATTATCTTTTGCCCATTCAGTTGAGATCTTCTTGGTTCTTAGTATAACACGTGATACTTGATTGAAATCTAGATATTTTCATATTGTTGTTGGACTCTGGATATTATTTAAACCTTTTGTTTTCCTGACTTTCTCTAATACTGCTCTGGCCTCATTACTGTCAAATGTGGATAGCAGTCCAGGTTCTCCCCTCAGCATCTATTCATGCCCAAGGGTAGGGCGTTCCTTGTTATGGATGGGTTGGGGCAGGAGCTCTGGTTCCCCATGTGGTCTCTACTGATGCCACAGTGTGAGTGGCCTTGTTACCACTTGGACACTGTGAAAGTCCTGACTCTCCACCAGGCTTCTGCTGACACCACCCCAGTCAGATGAGAATGCTGCTGTGTAAGGAAGGGAATCCAGCATTCCCACGTGGTCTCCACAGACACCACAGGGAGTGAGGCTCATTCCTGGCAATCAGGGACAAAAATCATGGTTCCCTATTTGGCTACCTCTGGCATCACCCAGTAGGGGTGGAGGTTGGAGTACCTTGATCCAGACTGGGTATAAGTCTGGGCTCCCCACTCAGCCTTTCCTGGCAGGGGTTGTGGTGGGGCACAGTTTCTTCTGTGATGTTTTGACTACAGTGGAAAGAGTACCATTTTTTTTCTTGCTAGGCTACCCCCTTCTTGGTCCTTCGGCTAGAGAGAGAGATCAGGCTTCTGCTGGGGTTTTTTTTTTGGTCTGCGCCCACTAGCATTTCCAGGTTGCCAGTATCTTTAGCTCCTGAAATAACCCAGGAACTCATCACCATGTTGTTTCTTGGGTCCCAAAGTCCATAGTCAACCTGCCTTCTTCTTTTCACCTTTCAGAGTCTTCTTATCTTTTATACATAATGGTCAGTGTTTTATTTATGCTTAATGGGAGGGACAGGGAAAAGTACATCTCCATATTCCCAGAAGTTTCTAATTAAATTTTTAAACGATATCTACTACACTAAATAACATAACACTTAAAAATAAATAATGCAAACTATAGTACATAAATTCAATTCGGTAATATGCAGTTAAAAAAAGAGTAATGTTATTGTAATGATACAGAGTAACTGCCAAAATATTAATATATCATTAAGTGATAAGAGCAAGGTATAAATGATGTGTAGAGGATTCTATTTGTGCAAAAGCAGAAAACAAAAGAATAAATACATGTATATGCTAATATGTACACCAAATATTTCTGGAACATTATACAAGAAACTCATAATAGAGATGCTTTGGGAAGGAAAAATGAAAGACCAGGGAAAAGGTGGTGGGGTAAGAAGAAAGGAACTAAATTTTTCCAAATGTTGCCTTTCCAAAAGAATAACTAAGGAAGGCTTTTAAATAACAAATTTCATCTTGAAAAATATGTAAGCAAAACATGAAAATCCTTGGATAGTTAATAAAGAAGAAATCTATATAGTTAAAATTAGAAAATACTACAGAAAGTAATAGCAAAAGAATAGTTCAGTGGACGAGAACAGAGCAACAGATTAATTCTAGGAATTGTAATATAAGCTGGTATAGATTAACTAAATAACTACTTTTAATATACGTTTTATATTTTATAATATACATTTTATATTTTGGTATAATGGCAGGGTAGGTACTTGGATCAAGCTTCCCACTGAAAACTAGCAGGAAAACAGACACAGCAACCTGGATCACTCCATCTAAGGGCATAGGTGCTAGGGGGAGTTCCTCCAGATGAACTTATTCTCTTTGCTTCAACGAGGATGCAACGAAGCAGATGAATACTAAAGAGTCAGGGTGGCAGTGAAAAGAATGCAGGGCTTGGGGTTGAGAGTTCTAGATTTGAATCTCTGTTCCACCACTTGGAAACTGTAATCTCAGGTAATTTATTGAACCTGTCATTTGCCTGGGAGACCACTCTCAGGGTCATGGAGAGAATTTAAGGAGGAATTTGGTTAGGGGCTGCCCCAATGCCCGGCATGCAGCACTTGCTCAGTAAATATCAATTGGCTCTGATTAACAGAAACTAAGTGGAACCAAGGGGTTGCCCTCAGGAAAAAAAGCTGCAATCTTTGCTTATATTCCTGATGCATGTAGATGCAAAAGTCCTCAACAAAATACTAGCAAACTGAATCCAACAGCACATCAAAAAGACAATACACCATGATCAAGTGGGTTTTGTTCCAGGGATACAAGGATGGTTTAATATACATAAATCAATGAATGGGATTCATCACATAAAGAGAATTAAGGACAAAAACCATATGATCATCTCAACAGATGCAGAAAAAGCATTTGATAAAATCTAGCATCCCCTCATGATATTATAAAAACCCTCGACAAACTAGGCATAGAAGGAACATACCTCAAAATAATAAAGGCCATACACAACAAACCCATAGCCAATGTCATACTGAGTGGGGAAAATGGTATCTGAGGAATTTTATTTCATCAGAAACACCACAGAACATGAGCAGGGCAAAGCTGGTGAATCTAGTATCACTGGACTAGCCGTTTAACATAAACAATGATGAAAGCAAGTGTCTTCTTCCCAGAATTGTCTAGATCTCAAACAGTTCTTTAGGAAGATGTCAATGAAAATACCTAAATTAAACTTTCCATTCAATATTAATAATTAAGAAACCCAAAATCATTTTTATGGATACACCTGAGAAAATCCCCACTCTATAAATGAACCACAGCAGAAGAACTTTTGCCCTACCAATAACGGCTGATTAATAGGCTTGAGATTCATGGAAAGAGAAATAAATAACAGCAGTTCAAAAAGCAAATTACCACCAATCATTTAATTTACTGGAACATATTTAAACCCATTTCTATACCAAAGTGCAGGATGGCCAATCATGACACACTCCCTGTTATATAAGCACTGGCATGCAGTCAGAGGGGTGGTTGGACACACGGGGGCTTATGCAGCAGCAGGGGAAGGACATGGGGTGGGTATGTATTCATATGTACATACACATGTATGCATGTACTGTGTTGGAAGTAGTTTGCTAAAATAATGCCTCATAAAAATTACCAACTGATTTCATCATAAAATCAAAGTACAATGAGCTCAACTGAAAACCACCAAAATGAACAGCTTATTAACCAAAAATATATAATTGCAATATTTTGAGGCAACAATGATAACCAAAACACTTTTTAAAAAAGCAAAAGTCTTCTTCATCATAAGTATACTGATGAAGTGCATTTTTAGTTAATGCATGTTTTAATTTTAAGGAATGACCAAAGTCAAGGAGCTTCTAGATTCTATTCTAAGGCAAGATACTCAGATAGGAGGATAAAGGGGAACTTCAAGGAAAGGTTATTGATGTCTCCAACCAGACCTGGAGATCAGAGGTAAGCCTTCCCCATCTTATTTGCAAAGTGAAATGGGTCTCCGAAATATTATACAAATACCCAGCAGTTACATATGTCAAAAGCAAATGAATTTTCTATTCCTACACGTTCATGACTCTGCAGGCTTTAGGCAGAGGCAGGAGTAAAATCAGGACCTTTGGCATTGCCAAGGCAGTGACATCAGTTACACCTGGACAAGTTCTCTAATCCTGACACCCTGAGAACCTGCCAGGTTTTGTAACTGTGAGGAAATCGAGACTCTCCCGCTACTCAAACGTCCCCGAGGGTCTTAAGCAGGCTCACTTGCACATTCTTCCTCTACCAGTTCATTCGAATGGACTGTCATTGGCCCCCCTAAGAGTCCCATTATGAACACACTTACTGAATGCCTTCCAAGTAGCAGACATCTTACAAGGCTCTGAGAGTGAGCTCAGATTATTTATCACCACGGTTTAAGGTTCCTCTTATTTTTCCACAAATTATAGGGCCCTGGTTTAGCACTCACCTGGTGAAAACTCCCTGGTTTTCACTCACCATAGCAGTGCCTTCCATTAACTTCGTGTCTTCAAATTAACCACAATTTAGAGGAATTAAGTTTGCTAACTATATCCTTATAAAGCAAACATACTCTACTTGCACATTTCAAAGAATCGATTATTTGACCAAACATAAACATGATAACGAATAAATTCACACTCCATATAAAAAAATGAGGATGAGCTAGATCTTTCATTATTTTGTACTTGGGCTTCACTGTGCATGGCAAATCACTAAAACGAAGCTATTTTTACCCTAGAGCTGTAGGGATGCTTACAGGCAACACCCTGGCTACTAACATGCTGGAAGTGACAGAGAAGCAGCTTAAATTGGAAAACTTTCCCCTGTTTCCTGAGGTTGAAAATGTGAAATTATGAACAGCTCTAAAGAATAACAAAAATCATGAGAGACAACAGACAGTTAATAATAGATGTAATGGATGGGATGAAACAATTAATGAATGTTCAAACGAACCAAAAAATAATCCAGTGATTCAGGAAAAGGCTAAAATAAAACACGAGGTTACATGGACATCAGATAACCAGATCTAAATGAGTTACTGGGAAAAGTTCCTTTTCAATATACACAAACAGGAAATAAATCCAGACTGAGGTCCAGAGTTTATTAGACACAGCTCTAAGCTGAAAATGCAAAGGCATTTTCTGGTCCCTGATGTAGCACTAAGTAGCTAAGAGACCTCAGGCAAGTCATTTAGCCTCTGTTGGTCCTAGAGAGGTTGGACTGAATGATCCCTATTTCCATTGCAACCTACTCTCCTTTTCAGCTCTTAAATTATAGGATCCTATGAAATGAAAATGCAAAGGTAAAATATTACCATGTTCTGGCAATCAGATGGGTCATAAGTGCTCTGTTTAAAAACTTTACAGAGTTCCATAAATTCTTCACTCATCTCGTGGATTTGTTGATTTAAAATTGCTCCCTTGGCACCGCCAAATTCCAGTCTTTCCAGCTTTTCGAATTCCAATGTGGTCACAAATATATCCTTTGTAAAAACACAGTAAAGAACTTTCTACCATCTTAAGAATATTTTAAAATTTCAAATCAAGAACATTTTCAAACATTCAAAATTGACATCAATGGACACATGACAGAAAATAAATGTTAATGATTTAATTAAACAAAGTAGCTGCTAATTTTAAAAATCACACTCCCATCTTCATATTTACTAAATTATCCAGTGTGGAGGGAGGACAGGCAACCCCTAATTCACCATAGCTAGACATATGACTCCCCTAATTGAATACTCCTAATTGGAAGTCAGATCCCCAGATAATATCCAAAACTCATATTCTCAGCCACCTACACTTTGCAGTGAGTCAGCTCCTTTACTGAAAGGAACCGAAAAAAACGGGAAAGAAACCCCCTCAACAAGGATTTGGCATTCAGAGACATTAAGAGGCATTCATGCTGATGAAGTCATGAGAATTTTCAAACCAAAAAGCTCTGATTTCTAATGAAATACAACAAGCCTTATATCAACAACAAAACCCAAAATTCTTAGAAAGAGCTTTACAAAGAAAATAAGGCAGTGTCATCAGTTCAAATGTTGTTAAAAACCTTAGCCAGTAGGGTCCATATAAGAGGAGAGAGTGTGTGTGTATTCATTTAATTTTTGGTTTTTATGTATTTAAAAAATATTCATACAGAGTACATATTTCCATGTTTTATTTTTACCGATGGTTTTAGTATTTTTATAGCATAGTACATATTTATACCTTAAAAGATAGTGTGAAATTTTAAATTATCAAATAGGCTTTTAGGTACGGATCCCAATTTCAAGCATTAAACACACAAGGGGAAAGTGGATTCGTGTATCGGGGATTAATTTCCAGCTTCCCGATCTGCAACTGTCTTCCAGGAGCTTAGTAAATTCTTAGTAAAGTCAAGGGTCACTGATATGTAAAGAGATTTACTTCTTACACTCAGTGTAATAACAGAATCACAACTGAATTTTTAAAAAGTCAAATTAAAGCTTTCAAAACTGTCCTTATAGCATTGGCCTGGTGAGCTCTCTTGAGAATCACTAAAAAAGAGACCTCTCCCCTATGACTGAGAATAAACTATCCCGTGAATCATATGAAAAGCCATGGGCTTTTTGAACCCACCTATAATATGAATAAACAAAGCCAATAAATGAATACCTCTATTTTCATTAAACGATCAAGAAACTTGTCAAATCTGCAAAACACCAGATGAGACTGGAAATCCCATGGTCTGAGCTCCTTATTTCCCACGAAATAACTTGCCAATCTTTTTCTATAGTTGAAAAAAGAATTTTTGAAAGTCTTTAAGATGTTAACAGCCACCTGCACCTTTTCCAGCGAGTCCTCAATTTCTCCCTTCAGAAGGTCCTCGGGTGAAAGGTAAGCTACTGCCTAGGATTTAATGAAAGGAAACAATGGTCAAAACATGTTTAATAGTTTTCTTTTTACTGTAACCATCTCTGTTTCAATGGATCATTTTTAAATGCCAACGTCAAGAATAAGGCTAGCAATGCCTTGAAACACAAAACACAAATTCTAGAAATTCAGACACTTGGGCTTTAATGACATACTTGTATAAGTTAGAATAACATACAGGAGACCCTAGTATTTCTGGATTTTTCCATTTTAGCAATGACTACATTTTTGCTAAGCCTCATAGACATGACACTTGTGTAATCTGAATTTGCATGGTTATTCCTACCAGCAAATATTCTGGGCAATTACTTTTTCATATAAAGAAATACAAAAACTGGCAGGAGAAATCTATCTGAACATGGATTTTTAGAATATGGTCACTTTACCTGGTAGTACGGGGTCACTTGCAAAGATGAGAATGAGCTGTTTAGACGGGTATACCATTGGACATTCTTTTAGGTTAGCAAACTTATCTCTTCTAGGGGCTTAAGTAGCATTATAGGACATACAGTCTAGCTGAGATATGGCACATGAACTAGTTTTAAATAGCGGGAAAGGAAAGGAGAGAAAGCTAAAAATAAAAGACAAGCAGATCTGTGTAGCGCTGGATAGACTCTCCGGGCACCATCAACCAGCGCTCCCGGTTCTTCCCTCCGCATATTTGTTATGAACATTCAGAATTCCCCTCTTCACGGAACTGAAGAACCTACAAATTCTGAAGGTTCTTTTGTATACTATTTCTTCCTGATGCATCTTAACCTCATGTAAATTATATGATTGAATTGTGTGCTTTTAAATTTTGTGGTTGCTTAGAAAGGTGTTTAAGATCTCCATGGAGAGTGCAACAAGAGCCATTGAGTTCAACATAGCAGATGGAAGGACTGCGTTTCTAAATGTAGACATATGACCCTCCATCTCCTATCAATGGCAACACTTTTCCATGCAATATAGACTCTGTGCCACAAATCTGTAATGCAATAAGAAAAATCATTCGTTTAGAGTCTAAAACCCCTACTGGTAAGAATCCTTCAAGTTCTAGCTGTAGATTCCCAGCCCATCCTCTTATTTCCCGCTCAGATTGGACAGAAAATTAACCTCTACATGAAGGCTGCTAATATCTCACAAAAGACAGGGAAGAGAACCACCAGTAATCCCTTAGGAGTTTTAAAATAGTTTACACTTTGGTAATGGTATATGATATAGTCCATAAACATTTATCTATATGATTTTGTTTGTTTGAGACAGGGTCTTGCTTTGTCACCCAGGCTAGAGTGCAGTGGCATCATCATAACTCACAGCAACCTCAAACTCCTGGGCTCAAGTGATCCTCCTGCCTCAGCCTCCCAAGTAGCTGGGACTTACAGGTGTGCAACACCATGCCTAATTTTTCTATTTTTTGTAGAGACAGGTCTCAGTATTGCTCAGTCTGGTCTATATGTATTTTTAATAATAAATGTGTCCTGTAAGCAAGCTGAAAAATCCATGGAGACGACTCAATTGCCTTCTGTGTTTCGGCAGTCCCATTATCTAATTACCCACGTTTAAGATAACACCCCGCACGGGACAAACCATCCTTCTGCTCATCCCTGTGCTTCCTGGCTGGCCCTCACATAGATGAGACAGTCACAGCCAACTAACTTTCTGTTCATACAGCAAGACCTCCTAAGACACGCTTATAGTATTTAATGTCCTACATGAGAAAACCCTGTCTATATCCTCGCATCGGGCAGCAGAGCATGTGGAGAAAAGCCCCACAGGAGTCGGGGGATCTGGCTGGGACCCAGGGAGGGGCCACTAACCACTGTGTGACACTAGCTACCTTGTCTCAGAGGAACTGTTGCCTTATCTGCAAAATGAGGATGATGAATTAGGTGAACCTTAAGATTCCTTTTAGCTCATAAGCTCTGAATTCTTTTCTGCCTCTACAGGCTCCCTCTGGACAGACCAACCCACACCAGCTCTGCCATCTCAGACTTAATGGTAACAGAACAAGCAAAAGGCCACTAGATTTAGGATGAACTGGTCCCCTTTTAGAGGTCTTATAAACTAAAATACTGCTAACCCATTTATTTATCAATAAGTCAATCAATTAATTAGCAACTAACCAATTTTCCAATGATACCATGTTAGTTTGATGCCTGTCTCCCTGCTGCTGCTTCTCTATTCTTTCCATATACTTTTATGGATTCTTTCTTTTGCTCAGTCCTGACACCTCTTCTCCACGCTTGACTACTCAGACTTAAACTCTTCCTCACCTAAGATCTTGTAGACAATGTCCATAATAGAAATACCAAGCCATGGAATAGACAGAAGGGTGGGCCCAGAGCCTTTATGACTCACAAGGACCAGGGAGCCGAGTCAGGTCACCAGAGAAAAGAGGCAAGGCATTAAGACAAGACCCCATTACCGAAGCTTGTGTGTGCTATCACGCAAGGTGGCCAGATGATGCCTTTTACATGTGTGGTCTAACTGATGATGTTAATGGTCACTGTTAGAAAACAAGTGAAGAGAAACACATTTGCTTTTAAAGTAACAAAGTTTTCTAAGTATGACTGGGATATCAATCATAGGGGTGTTCACATAATGAAAATGAGCAAAGCAGATCAGAAACAGCAGCAAAGCGTGAAGGCCATGGTCACCTGGACAGCACCTGATCCATCTAAAGGGGCACCTGAAGCTCTAGGCATTGACTGTGCCAATGGGGATGGCACAGCTAGCGTGACTAGGTCCCTGACTTTTCTGTGGAGGCTGGAATGCTACAATTTAAATGAAACCTATCCAATTTAAGTATTAGCAATCATTTTTTTAAGTTAAAAAAATTAAAAATATTGCATTGATCTATGGGCCAAATGTAGCTGATAGAACGCCAGCTTGTGAGCTCTAATATTAATACATAACATACAAAGGGTTCAAATTTTCACAAAAACATTAAGATCAATAAATTCATGAAAGCAAAGGTCATGTAGGCTACAGGAAGAAATACAATTATAAAGAACATATATACTACTCAGCCACCAAAAGGAGTGAATAATGTATTTTGCAGCAACTTGGGTGGAACCGGAGGCCACTATTCTAAGTGAAATAACCCAGGAACAAAAAACCGAATATCTCACGTTCTCACTTATAAGCGGGAGCTAAGAAATCGGTGTGCATGGTCCTACAGAGTGACTTCATAGACACTGGCGACTCAGAAGGTATGAGATAAAAAATTATCTACTAGGTATAACGTACACTATTCAGGTGATGGGTATGTTAAAATCCTAGACTTCTCTACTACGCAATTATCCATGTAGCAAAAAACCATTTGTATCCCCACGTCTATTTAAGTTAAAAAAAACTTCTAAAAAAAGAACATATAAAATGTGTAATCACACATATCACACAAAGTACAAATTAAAAAACGACCTGGTACCACTATTTACCTAATAAATGACCCCAAATTTTTTTTTCTTCTTTTTTCTTTTTTTTCTTTTTTTTTTTCCACATTTTTTTTTAAAAATGGTAATGCTCAAAGCTGGCAGATTATAGTGAAACTTTTTTACACATTGATAATAGCAATGTAATTGATATAATCTTTCAGAACAAATTTGTAAATATTAAATATTGCTCAAAAGCCGTGAAAAGATTGTACCCTTTGATCAACATTAGGAATTTATATTAAGCCAAGTATCCAAGTCAAGGAAAAGGATCTTTGTACAGTTTTTTTCTGAATATTATTCATAATGAAGGAGGCTGGAAGAAACCTAAATAGCAATAATAAAATCATTGTTCAAGAAGCTAGTAAAAATGCTGTATTATGATAAAATACATAAATGCATGTAAGCTTGTGGGAAAGGAAAAATCAAAAATGCTGAATTTTAGGGTGCTAGAACTGCAGGACTACTTTCATTGTTACAAATGTACAATAAGAATATTCCATAATTATCATTAGCACACCATGTATTTTGTTATAATTAGAAATAAAAACCTTTATTTTAGAATATAAAGCATAGTATAATGGATAAGAACTCCATCACTTATTGGCTGAGGGAACTTAGGAGAGTTAATTCTCTGGGCTTCAGTTTTTTTCATCATAAAATGAAGCTACTAATAGTACCTATGTCATAGTGTTGTTATGAGGATTTAATTTTTGAATTTTTGTAATAGGCTTATAAAAGTTCCTGGCAAAATAGTAAGTACTATACAGTGTTTGTCAAATAAATATCTAAAATGAATAAAATTAGCAAACAATTGGAGAGGAGGAAGAGTTTAGCTCTTCAGGGAACCTAGCTGTGCAAGTTGGCTCATTGCTGATTTTTTTTTTTTTTATTCCTAACATCTTGGGGCAGATTTATTACAAAGTCTGGGACCTGCCACATGGAGAATCAAGGAAATCAGGTCAATGAAACCTTTGAACAGAAGCCAGACTAAGGAACAAGAGCAGCTACATTATTTTTTCAGGAGCTTGGCACACTGGCTGTTGACACAGGATAGGGGCCAGGTTTACAGGCTTAAAGGCAAGAGATCGTTCTTATAAACCATCTCTACCAGAGAATGGCCACCTCTGGGGTTGATCCATTAACAGGGCTCTGCAATGAAATAGTTTTAATTATTCTCAAGACAAGGGTCCCTAAAAAAGAGTTTGGAAGAAGTGAGAGTTACAGTTGTTGACCCTGCAACAAGGATCATGGTGTTTTGCATGGAGATCCAAGCCATTAGGCCCAGGGCACTTGCCTAACAACAGAGCAAAACTGAGTTTGCACAACAGAGGAACAGAAACAGAGCAAAATCAGAAGAGATGATGATAAAATGTAAAAAGAACCTAACCTATTGTTATCTCCTATCGATAGCCGCAACTAGCTTGTAAGTCAATAGTTTCGACAAAGGAACAAAAAAGGAGCTAGCTTTTATAGAGCCTCTATTAAATATCAAGCACTACACTAGACAGTTCACTTACGTTCTCTCTTTCGATGCTCCCAATAGCCATGGACTAGGCATTAACCCCACTGATAGACAGAGAAACTGAGGCTCTGAAAAGTAACTTAGCTTCCCCTAAGTGGTTCAATTATTAATAAATTTGAATCCAGGTGGGTCTGAGTCCAAAGCCCTTCCCACACACCACTCCATCTCTTTGGAAGCAGACAGAAAGCAAAAACAAACTTTAACAACTCAACATCATACTCCAGAAACTCTAAATTGCATGTCTGCGGCCCTGTCCTCTAGTCTGGCCTTTCCTCCTAACTTCTTGGGGAAAATTGAGCAAATAATATCATCTTTCAAGTCTCCCTTAATTCATCTGAAAAATATCTGAATTGTGTCCCTCCAAATTGATATGCTGAAGGCCTAACTCCCAATGTGACTGTATCTGAATATACAAGTCTTGAGGAGGTAATTAAGGTTAAATGAGGTTATAAAGATGGGGTCCTAATCTGATAGGACAGTGGCCTTATAAGAGGACACACTGAGAAGGCAGCCAGCTGCCTGCAAGCCACGAAGTGGGCCCTCACCAGAACCTGGCCATGCTGATGCCCTGATCTCAGACTTCTAGCTTCTAGAATTATGAGAATATAAATATCTGTTGTTAAGCTGCCCAGTCTATGGTATTTTGTAATGGCAGCCTAAGCAGACTAAGACACACTCCCAACTAAGAACCACTAGATTATGTGGCATCCAAGTATCTCTTCACTCCCAAATTATGTAATATTCTCTGGTACTGTGGACACAGAGGAATCACAGTTCACATGGAAAGGATAAGAAAGCAGAGGCAGGTGGTCCGATCGTTTTTTTTTTTTTTTAAATATTTTACAAGTTGGGTAAAAAGTAGAGAAAAATTATAAAATATTTTTAAAGATAACAATGAATCAGAATTCTTTCAATACAATTCCACTACTGTTTTTTGGTTTGGTTTGGTTTTTTTGCCAGATTCTCTTAACTTACTTCACTTTCCAAAAGACATCTATCAGCCAGTGTTCCTGTGAAAACAGAAGGGAAGGCTACAAAGAAGGTACTATGCAGATCTGTCTTTTACTGGAAGCTGTCATAAATGTCTTTGAAGAAATGTAGGCTATTGAACAAACAAAATCCAGCAACAACTTGTCCTTTGATTGTATCTGACTTATTTCCTGAACTCCTTGTTACCTGGCCTTTGTTACCATAAATGTCCTTTCAAGGGAAAAAAAGAAAGGAAAATGGTGTTCTTACTGTATACTATAATTATTTATTCTTCACTAGTCTAATAAAACCTACCTCATGGCAATGATTCTTATCGTTCCTATTTTATATGCTCCATACCTGGTCAATGAAGAGATTACAAAACTCTTTCAATAAAGCTATAACTCGAGCAGGGGTGTTATAAAACTTGGAGTGACTCCAGATCAGACAGATGGTATGAAATAATGGGGCGATCAATACACGAGTCCGTGGAAATTCCGTCTCCTGGAGACGCTGAATGTGTCTCCTCAGAGGTCTCAGGTGCAGTTCCACATCTTGGGCTTCGAGGAGAGCTGAAAAGAAAGAACCATCATTAATGGGATGCAGTCCTCCTCCTTCTAGAGTCACTTCACAAGCAGAAGAGACAGAACTATGTAAAACAACACAGCTACACTTAAATGTTGTCATATTTCCTTTTATATTACTTATCACACAATCTATACATGAGAAGTTTGGAAGATTTTACTGTCTGTCTATAACTCAGCCATTCGGAAGAGCACAGGTCTGGTTACTTACATAGCATAAATAACCTGACTGAAGACCCACCAGGAAAATACCCTTGGAGTCTAAAGAAATTTACTCAACCCCATGGAAACTATAAGAATAAAACATCTCTGCGATGTTGTCACTTTATGGCTTGGGTTACAAGCTTCACCACTAGAATGTTAATTCCTCTTAGGTACTTGGTATAAGTACAGTTGAATTGTTTATTTTTCATTGTATATATGTACTGGGTACAAAATGTTATATGTATGAAATGTGGAATGATTAAATCAGTCTCATTAACATATCCATCAGCTCAAATGCTTATTTTTTGTAGAGAGACATTTGAAGTTTACTCTTAGTGGAGTTCAAGACCAGCCTAAGCAAGAGCAAGACCCCTGTCTCTACTAAAAACGGAAAAATTAGCCAGGCATCATGGCATGCACCTGTAGCTACTTGGGAGACTGAGGCAAGAGGATTGCTTGAGCCCAGGAGTTTGAGGTTGCAGTGAGCTACAATGCCACTGCACTCTACCCAGGGTGACAGAGCAAGACTCTGTTTCAAAACAAAAACAAAAACATTTATCTTATACTAACACAGAAAAAAAAGTACCAACAACTTCTCTTTATTGAGGACATACCTACTATGTGCCCAGTACCTTGTGTAGTGTTTATGATGCCCCTAATCCAGTGGTTCTCAACTAGGGGAGATCTTGCCCCCAGGGGACATTAGACGATGTCTAGAGACATTTTTGATGGTCACATTTTGATGCTGCTGAACACCCTACAATGTGTAAGATGCTCCCTTACAACAAAGAATTATCTGGCCCAAAATGTTGATAGTGACAAGGTTGAGAAATACACCCACATGGCAATTCTGCAAGGAAGGCGTTCATATGCCAGTTTGGCCAATGAAAAAACAGAGGCTTAGCAAATTTAAGATGCTCAGTAAGCAGAGTTGGGACAGGAATTCAGATCTGACAGAGCCCCTGACCCAAACAGTCCCTCCTTACCAACACCCTCTTTCACGCAGAATTCATGGAGAAAACCCTAAAGAGATATCAAAACATTCTCAAAGTGAATTAATTTTAAATATTTCCTAACCTTGCAAATGTCACAGAGGAAAAAAATAAAAAGAAATGTTTTTAATGTTAGAAATGAATGAAAAAAGCCATTTGTCTGTATTACCTCTAATTTTATTATTTAAAACGTCAGTATATGCATATCCATATTTGCTTAGGCATGCACAAAGAAACGTGAACAGAAATCAAGAAACTGGGGAGGTTGTTATTTTGGGGCAGAACTGAAACTAGATAGTAAGAGGGCAAGGATGAGGAAGAGACTTTTAGCTGGATACCTTTTTATAACTTCTAGTTTTTATCAACATGCATTCATTACCTATTTGAAATCCAAGCAAACAAATCCTCTGCTCTGCATGTTTAATCTTCACCAAAACTTCGTCAGTGACTTTGAGTGCTTGTTAGCTAAATACGGGGTAGATAGCAAGCACGTTCAGAGATTTGAACTGGTGAATAACTAATCATAGTCCAACTCCTTGATTAGAAAATCTCTACCCAGGGTTTTCATTTATTCTCTGCTCAATACAAAAGGCCTTCCCCCTCCATACACACATTCTAATTAAAACTGGAGCTGCTTGGGCAGGCATCTCCCATATACCAGACCCACTAAAAGCAATTCAGTATGGCTGGAGAATAAAGCACAAAGGGTGAGATGAATTTATCATTAGAAGAGCCAAGAACAATCACGTTATGGACACGCTCGTGGTGGAAGGGTGGATGTCCAGGTTGAGCAGGCAGGGGCTGGATCACAAGCAGATCGTGACATCGACTCCAGAAAGAAGGGAGAAATAAGAGTCTTACCATGTTCCACAGCCAGGAAGATGTCTTTCAAAGTAGGAAAATAGCTGCTCTTTTTAGCTTTCAAGATCTTAACCATTTTGAGGACAATAGGAGCCTGAAGCTAAATTAAAAGAAAAAAAAACTTTTAATTATTAAATACATGCATTCTGTGACAAAATATTTAAATTATATTTCCCTCACACACACAATATCCACAGTATTTAACACTCAAAGGTATATCTGGTTTCAAGTTGAAAATAACTTTAAAAATACATTTTCCCCCTTTAGGCTTATATTTTATTTTGCATTTAGGGTTTTTAAATTTGGATTTCTTAAAAAGTCAATTTACATTTTATTATATGTGTAAAATACTGATTTTTCCATATAAAGTTTCTTGATCTGTTTCAGAAAATCTCCAAGAGACATATGAATGAATACCTTGGTTTTTAGAACATTAAAGTAATTCATGTGGCAAGCAGAGGAACCAAAAGTTAGCTCTTCTGTTTCTCTCCACTAAGCAAGACTCTACTCCTTCCTGAACCAATTAAATCGACTAGATTAATTAAATCTTACAATCTTCAATGTTTCCCTGGGGAACCACTCCTTTAAAAGGGAAGTAAAGATCTCAAATGCTGTCAAAATATTCTCATAAAGGCAAAGTTACTTTTAATCCTAATTAAATTCAAAAGTGCATACCATATATACAGCACTTTGGAGTGAGAAAAAAAGCAGACTATTAAGTCATACAAAGACAGTGTGTTAAACCTTTAAAATTATTGAAAATCACTGCTGGGGAGACCTAATTCCACAAGTGACTTTGCTAATTCAATTTACAAACAATTTCTAGAACTATCTACTTACTTGATCATAAGTGCATGACAGATTCTCCTTCCTCATCGTCCAAAAATCTAGCTCAGTTTGTGGAGTGAAGTGAAAATCATTCAGCAAAGGCCGCACTGAATCTTTTTCTACAATTTCTTGGATCTGATGTGACCATTTAATAACCACAGATTCAATTGCATGGAGTATTATCCTTTCATTTGACTGTAGCCTACAAACATTTAAGTGATTAATAAAATAATTCAAAGATAAATCATTTTCTCCAAATAAAGATTTGTATTTTAATAGCTATTTTATGCATCTATAAGTTAATTTTCTAAATATATACTCTTCAAAATCCACTATTTTTATGGTCTTTGAGTTGTTACATTATGTTAGTCTGTCATTGATGTGTCTCTGACATTAAAAAGCATTGTTAAAGAATTGTCATCCTCTCAAAAACCATTTTACTAAAGGAATACTGTTGTTGACGTCTTGGTAATTGTTATAGTTTGCTTTTTGCGCAGTTGGATTTTCAAAAGTTGGAAATAATATACATGGTGCTTCTGTACTTATTTTTAAAATACAATGTACTTATAATTCTCTATTTGCTAACAGTTTGCTAGAGGTTTTATTTTAAATAGGTATTGCTCTTCATTTTAATATCTTGTATATATCGTATTGTTTACGTACATGGTCTTCGAATAATTCTGATCCAGGTCAATCTTTCCTGCAATAGTGGGAATTGGGAGAAGAGTTCTTCCAGACATTTTGCCCCTAAAAATATGCATCTTATTTCTCACAACTTCTATATGACATTCCATATCTTGGGAAGTAAAACAGGACCAGGATGTATGGTTGTTCTTATTAGAAAGAACTGGCACTAAAATCTAGAGAAAGAGAAACATTTTTAAAAGCAGTTAAATGAATTCATAGACAATGTGTTCCTTCAAAGATTTTGTCATACAAAACGGGCAACGACACCACTTGATTTCACAAATAATCCTCCAACGACACCAAATCTACAAAGAGAGGACACAGTGACACATTTAAACTTAATCAATTAGACATAAATTCTGTCAGAGTGGAAATACTATACTGCCTGTGCACTCATTTGCCCATTTATCAAACATTTGTGGAGGTTTCCAATAACTTAAACACTGTATGAAATAAGCAAAGTCATGTCAAGTAAGTAAACTGCTTTCTTAATGCAAACTGAGTACTTCTTGGGTATATTATTGAAAAAAATCTTTTTGACAATTCATAATAGCAAAGATGTGTAATCAACCAAAGTGCCCATCAATTCGTGAGTGGATAAGAAAATATGGTATACATACATCATGGAGTGCTACTCATAAAAAGGAATGAAATAATGTCTTTTGCAGCAACTTGGATGGAACTGGAGACTGTTATCCCAAGTGAAGTATCTCAGGAATGGAAAACTAAACACCACATATGCTCCCTAATAATTAGGAGCTAATGGATGGGCACAAAGAAATGTAAAGGTCCATGGAAATCGAGAAGGGGGAAGGCGAGAAGGAGAGGGGTAAAAACCTACCTAATGGGTACAATGAACACTGTTCAGGTGATGGGCACACTAAAAGTCCCGACTCAAGCATTACAAAAGGTATCCAGGTAACAAAAACATTTGTACCCCCTTAATATTTTGAAATTTTAAAAAAATCGTTTTGAATCATATGGAAGCTAAAAGTAATCTTCTCAAGCTCTGGGTGGCATCCCAGTGGATTAAAGTTTGAATAGTCAGAACAATGTTTATTCAATCATATGGATTTTTTTTTTCAGAGCTCCTACCATTAAATGAGGAACATCAATGAAACTAAGTGAAAACCCTTAAAAAGTATATTTTGTATTCCCAGAGCCTAGATGTAATGTAATGAATAAGAGCATGCTGAGTTAATGAAGTTGGTCTCTTCTTGCTTTCCCACTCCTCTCCAATATCTATTCATTTTAAACATTTTCATTTTTCTGATATAATCTGTCCAATTTATAAGCATTATACTATTAAATTTGAATTAGCCAAAATGCTCAGAAAATAGTCATTCCACCTTTTTAAAGTTTGACAATACAATCTTCTAGTTAACTAAAAACAAACTGAAAATTTACTTTTGTTTTTGAATGGTGTTGAAATAAATCTTTCCAAATGGTATTATTATTACATCTTCCACTTAGCACCCATTATATGTCAACCTAGAAATATGGAGAATAATAAGAAATAGTCCCTGCCCTCAATAAGCTTAGTGGATGAGGTCCCAGAAACTATGACCCTCAATGTAAAAACTGTCACAATTACAGGTATGTTCGAGATGAATATGAAAACACGAGAGAGATACTTGTCTCTGGGAGGGAATGGTATTGCCAGAAAAGTTGTTACTTACTTTGAATCTTTAAGATGAAAGAAGAGGGCAAGACAGGTGCTATGCTCTAAATGTTTACATCCTCTTGAAATTCATATGTTGAAATCCTAACCCCCAAGGTGATGGTACTAGGGTGTAAGGTATTTGGGAGGTATTAGGTCATATGGGCAGAGCCCTCGTGAATGGGATTAGTGTCCTTATAAAATAGGCCCAAGGGAGCTTGTTCACTCCTTACACCAAGTGAGGACACAGCTAGAAGACACTATCTATAAACCAGGAAGTCCTCACAGACACCTGAACCTACTGGCGCCTTACTCTTGGACTTCCAGCCTTCAGAACCGTGGGAAATAAATCTCCACTGTTTATAAGATACCCAGTCTATGTTTTTTTGGTTATAGAAGCCCAAACAAAGTAAGATGGCAAGCATTCCAGAAAATGGAATACTGATAAAAGAAATCACGGGGCTCAGGCAGTACGGTGCATACAGCAAAGTGCCAGCTTGGCTGCCTGGAACCAGAGCCAGCACTCCTAACAGGAACGGCAACCATAGGGCTGCGAGGAAGGCTGGGTGGTTCATGCAGTGCTTTGGAAACCAGGCAGAAGAGTTCAAGCTTGTTGGGCTGAACATGCACTGACCCACTGGGCAGCTGCTTTCTAGATTAAAATCCCTAATATCAACAGCTTTTTCTAAAAGTTAGACACAAAGAAAATTCCAGTTATTCATCATTTCTAATTCGCAGGATACTGTTTCAGACTTTCACTCTATTTACTATTCCATGATGAGCCCAATTTGTTAAAAAAAAAACCTTAATGCTTGCATCATGAGCTATAAGTAAAACTGCTATTAATATGCAATTCTGAGCCACATGCTTTGGAAGGCAATTAGCCGAGCAAACAGCTGACGTATTTCTATACATATAAAGGAAAAAGATCTAAGATATGCTTGCTAATCACAATAAATTGTATCAAACTATATACAAATTCAATTAATTTGAGGTTTTGTCTTTAGTGGGCAATTTTGTCTAGTTTTCATGACTTATAAGAAAAATCCCAAACTTTTTCTGTGAACCAAAATGATTTGGACCCATTTGCTATGTTGATACTAAACTATAGATAAAAGAGCTATCATGCCTTTGCTGTGGCACTCTTTACTTACCTTCTTTCTTTTTATTGTTTTTTAAACTGGGCAGTTTCTCTTGACAATAGCTCTTAAATCACTAGGTATAATTACCTAGAAAATACTTTCAAAATACAGAGGCCTGAGACCCTCCAGACTTTTGAAACTGAAATGTCCAAGGACGGGGCCCAGACACTGAGAACCAAATGATACTTCCATTTTGGCTTGGTAAGCATTTACAATTATTGTTTGTTTTGAAATTTGGGCCAATATAATATGTAAATAAATAACCCCATGACATTTTAAATACCTTTGGTAAGGACAATTACATAATACAATACAGTCACAAATAATAAGGTATGGAAACCCACGATAATGTCGAGGGGCGAGCAAACCTTTTTCAGAATGTCACACAGATCCTGGCACCGAGATAAACTCAGAGAAAGTTTAGAGAAATTTGAAAAAGTTTTATACCTTCTGTTGCCAGATACAGATGGTAGAGCAAGAATTCCAATCAGAGTGTAGCCTTGCCCTTCCAAGCCACAGCTGATGGCAGTCTAGATTTGAATAATGACCAAAAGTCTTCAGATTCGCTTCAATAAAATTTCCTGCACACCTGCTGCATACCAAAAACTGTTCCAGGTCCCGAAAATAGAAAACCCTCTTCCTAGCAACTCCCTGAAATCAGCTAAAACCAAGCAAATTCAACAGAACGGGAGGGAAACCTAGGCAGGGTACTAAAATTGGGGGTGAGAGACTTTGGCTAGCCCAAAGACAGCAAGAAAATACCTCTTTGTTTTTCCATTCTTGTGATACTTCACCTAGTAGAATGGGCTGCGGCTCTATCCAAGATAATACAAGAGGTGCTAGATCACCATTGTTTTTTGTGGCTGAGTAGAATTGGTATTAACTGATCAACACTTATGTGCACATATAGTAGTAACATTCACAGGGTATGGGGCAGGTAGGAGGGGGAGAAGGGGATGGATATATTCACACCTAATGGGTGTGGCACGCACTGTCTGGGGGATGGGCACGCTTGAAGCACTGTCTCGGGTGGGGCAAAGGCAATATGTGTAACCTAAACATTTGTACCCCCGTAATATGCTGAAATAAAAAAAAAAAAAGCAGCAAATATCTCCTTTCGAGAAGACAGCAAGAGATTCAGAAAGTAGAAGAGGTGCGACAAAGGGAGATTGGTATAAATCACTAGTAATAAGTATGTTAGCAATTTTCCTACCTTAAATATTGGCCTTAGTAGGGCTGCATTGATTACAGAGATCTGATTTAGCAATGGGAATTTAGGAATTGACTTGTAGACAGAATCTAACCCAGCGATTCCCAAAGATTACTGTGCATTAGAATCACCTGGGAATCTTAAACTACTGCTGCCTGATGTTCTGAATTAAATAGTTTGAGGTGTGACCTGTTAGAAAGTTCCCCCAGCTGATTCTAATGGTCAGCAAAGATTGAGAACAGCTGCTCTAATTCTATGGACCCTGGTCATTAGGTAAATATCAAACCTGGTCCATGAACAAACAACAGATTAGAAATGAGGAATCTTGGGCTCCACCCTAGACTGATTGGATAAATCACTCTGCCTTAGCAAAATCCCCAGGTGGTTCTTATACATATTAAAGTGTCAGTAACATTTGCTTAGAGAGCATTTCTCTGATTTTTTTTTTTTTTCCAATTTCAAGCACATGATGCTCATCCCTGATTTAAGGGGCAAAAAAGGAATTTTAAGGCAACTATCTCTAACACTTTGTCTCCATCACCTTTTTCCATTATCTGTCATGAATGAAACTTAGTTGTTAACTGTTAACTTCTAATAGGAATCTGAAAAACTGATAATCTCTATTTCCAAAGTGTAAGTCTGTCTCTATGCTGAACATGAAATTTATAACTTACTGCTAGGTATAAAAGCCTATTCCAATCAAGTTGCTTTTCATTTACTTCCATTATTTTGGAAGGGATGGAGGGAAGAAAGGAGGTATCCCCTGCCAAATTACCACCTGTTGAATATTAGCATCAGTATCAGCTTATTTCAGGAACAGCCTAAAAGCTATCACTCTCCATCCACTTGGCTAAAGGAAAAACTACTGGCTTCTACATTTTCTTTTTTAAATTGCCAAGGTTGCCCCAAATAATTCCAAATGTCATGGAGATAAATGAAAGATTCAAATATTAAATATAGACTAGTACCTCGTCTAGAAAAACAGATACATGTCCAAAAGATGATGCAGGTAACTCTCCAAATAAAACCATTTGAGAGAAATCATTTACTCCGGTGCTTTCAGTAATCTTCTTGGTAATATAAACAAGTTTATGTTTTGCATCTCTTGGAATCTGAAACAAGAGCAAGATAATTAGTTCAAATTCACTATGTAGTTTCTTTGTTAACAATCAGGATTTACTGTATCCAACTTGTAGCTAGATTGCTAGCAGAAGAAACAAAACTTGGTATGTTGCCTACCGTTACAAATAAGGTCCTTCTACTGCTCTTCCCTATTATGCAGAGTGTATACAGTTTTCTTTGTTCTTTTATAATGCTAATTTCACACCATTACTGGTGTGGAAATGTCACTTTTTTAAAGGCATGTCAGTTACACCAGATCATTACATACCATAAAATCTCATAATCAAAAAATAAGGAGCACAAAAGGATGCTTCAATCCTTTCTTACAGACAAGGTCTCACTCCACCACCCAGGCCAGAGTGCAGAGGCACAATCACAGCTCACTGCAGCGTTGAACGCCAGGGCTCAAGCAAAGCAATTCTCCTGCTTCAGCCTCCTTAATGGCTAGGACTACAGGTGTGCACCACCATACTTAGCTACTTTTTTGTTGTTGTTGTTGCTGTTAGAGATAGGGTCTCACTATGATGCCGGGGCTTGTCTCAAACTCCTGGCTTCAAACACAATGCTCCCACCTGGGCTTTCAAAGTGCTGGGATTATAGACATGAGCCACTGAGCCCAGACAAATGTTTCAATCTTAAAAGGTTATTCTTTCTTATCTTTTCTTATTAGGAAATAAACCAAACTGAGATACAGATAAGGCATAAGAGGTTAATTTGTATTTCTATCAAAGAACAGAAGTGTTTAACCAAAACATTCTAACATTTCTGCAACTCCTGAGTCATTCCTTTAGGTATTATGACCGTTTAACTTAGGTGACACTATAAGTGTTTTATTCCTTGTCTATTAACAAACTTTTTAAAAAATAAATTATAATGAGGAGAGTACTAAAACAAAAAACTTCAAAATTCACAATACTGCAAGGTAACCTTCCTGTTATTCTCTTTTTTCTCTGGGATCCTATTTCCCAGCTATTACAATGGCCACATCTAGTGATGATATCACTTTACAACAACAACACCTGAGGCAATGCAGTACCTAAAGAATCCTTCTCCAAACTCTTCACACTTGAAAAGTACTAAGTAAAAATGCTGTAGTTGCAGGTGACACATTAACCTTCTCGTGGACAAGCAATCTAAATTTGAGGGGAAAAGAGGGAGAAAGGAAAGAAAGACCTGCTCCCCCAAATGGTTGATAAACGTCACGTGTGCACAGACTGCCTGGGTACTCCTTTTTAAGCACTCAGTATTTTTCCCTGGGATGAAAGTGGGGTTCACAGGTAGTCAGACTGAATACACGACAAGTTATATGGGCTCTGTCAAACACCACATTTTTTAAAGGCTATCACTCCAGAGAGACCCAGGAGAGACTGAAACGGAAGTTACTTGGCACAGAAAACTCACCTTGCTCCTGACACCCGGGCAGCTGAAGGAATGGTTGGTTTTCCTGCGTCACCCGGGTGGGATCAGCCTGAACTGGGGATTCTTGGTCAGAGCCAAAGGGCTGCCCTAGAAAACTAACCCCCAGCCGCCAGCGGCTGCAGAGCGGGCGCACCTGCGGGGAGGAGGCCGCCTACTCCAGTTAGGGACTTCGAGGCAAGTTGTTGAGAGCGCCCGAGTGTCCCCGGGGGAACCACAGGAGGCCAGGCTGGACTGTCCCCTCCAGGGCGGGCGGCGTGGAAGGTCCCTCTGACTGTCGTCTCTTACCTCCCAGGTGGCCTCGAGCTGCCCCGCGGCGGCGACGCTGAACACAAGGTGGGCGGGGCTGGTGCTTTCCAGAAACTCCCCCAGAACCTGCCGGTTTTCTTCGCTTGCCAAGTACTGGCTCCACTTCTCCTCCGGGAACCCCAGCATCTGCGCCAGGCGGCCACCGAGGAAGCGCACCCGCGCGTCTTGGCCGAAACTCCGCGCTCTCCTGGCCGCCGCCTCTTCCTCCTCCTCCTGCTCCTCCCCCTCCTCGCGCTCCACAGTGCCCGCCGCCTCCAGGCCGGCCCCCGGGCTTAGGCGAAGGGTCGGGGCTTCCCGCACGCCTCGCGCCTCCCGGGCTGCCACCGGGGCCGCCATTGGGCACGTCCTAGGGGACGCAGGGCCGGCCGGCTCCTCTGGCGTCCCCTGCGCCCGCTCCGAGTGGGCGACAGCACTCCTCCGCGGTCTCTGCGAGCGCTGACCCCCGTCCCCCACCTGCTGCTACGGGGCGACCGCGCCACAGCGCGCAGCGAAAGCCCCGCCGGCCGAGGCGGTGGCCCGGGACATGCAGCGCGTCCCGTTTCCCGGGGGACGGTGTCCCCGCCCCGGCCGCTGGGGGCGGATGCGCGCGCCGCCGCCCCGTAGAGGCCAGTGCCGGGGCTCTCGGGCGTCGGGTCCCAAACCCCGCCAGGGAGGGCGCGCCCTAGGCTGGCCAAGGCCCCGGTGGGCTAACCCCGCCGCGCTCCGGCTCCTTCGCCTGCTGGACCTCTTCGCGGGGCTTCCAGCGACGGAGGACAGCGAACAGCCCGGTGCTGGCTAAGTGCTCTGGAGCAAGCGGTGCCGTCTCGTGCTGACCTCGCCGCTAACCCTTTCTTTACCTTGATCGGTTCATGTAATCCCTAGAAAGCCAGGGCTCTGACAGGTCAGTCTTTATTTTATGGGCAAGGGACTGGGTCACAAAGTGACTTAAGTGACGAAGAAATGGTGGAACCGGGATTCAGGGCCAAAGTTGAGGGCTTGTGTTCACCTTGCCCGAGGCTGTCCAAATACTATCTGAAAAGAGCCAGCCCTGCAGTTCAACTTCCCCAGTTGCAGAAATCCAAGGTGTACCTATTCGGAGTCCTGCTGCCCATCCTCAACTGACACTGGAATATTATTAAATAACATGCGCAGTAAGAGAACGCATAGCGTTCTTGGGAAACTCCAGAGCGTTCGGGAAACCTGTAGAATTATCATTCAATTCAAGAGTAAAAAGGTCAAAGGAGAAAAGTTTCCGATTGAAAACAGTCTCCATAATAGTGGAATAGGATTTCACTGTGGTCTATTAGTGGCTCTATTGTTGAGACTATTATGGAAATTCTGGTTGCTGAAGCTGCCAGAATTCAAAAGTTTCATTCACAAACTAAACTTTTTTTTAGTCCCTCTCCTTTATAAATTGTTCATTTCTAAACAAAGACTTCAACCCCCACCCCTTCTGTAGGACTACTTAAGGAATGTTGCCCTCAGTAATCCATATAACACCTGATTGTTGATAAATATTAATTGATGTTCCCAGCAAGGCTTGGGGCTTCAACAATTTTTCTTCTCAGGCTATTAATTGTCTCTGAAGACCATCTCTAAGCTTTCTAGTTAGATGATCAGAATCTTGAATTAGCACAGGCTCTGGGAAAGCCTTTCTAATTAATTTCAAGGCTGTCAAGTCTGCTTTGTATGGTTCATGATAATCTTTGGGGCGCCCAGTTGTTGGTGTAGAAGCCCAGCAATCAGGAGTTCCTACCCTCTCCTGTCACCCTTATGTTCCAGCTTTGAATCCCCATACCCCAGAACAACAGGAATTCTGTAAATAATAGTTACATTAAATTGAAAGTGAGTAACCAGTTTCAAATCCAGCAGGAAAAAAGAAATTTTAAATAGTGCTAATATTAAAGTACAATTTTCAAAAAGTTAAATATGTAACTCAAAATATAGAATGAAGACATGTCAAAGATTTGTTCAACTCGTTAACGAGGGAACCAATAAAACGGTTATCTTAGCTCCAAGGTCAGTTAGAGAGAAAGATTTATAGGCATTGGTGAAAGACTGGGAATCAGATTGCTAGGCTACATAAATACTCATTAACGTCAGACAGGGCAATATGATCCTTTGTGGGTTTTTTTTAAGAATAATTTATTATTCAGAAATAACTTACATCTATAATGAACACAAATCTATAAAAATAAAACTTCACAGAGTTTGAGTCTTTAATTAATCGTACGTAAAGAGTCCAAAAAAGGTACTTTTTTCTAAATAATCCTTTGGTGGGCCAGTTATGTTCCAATATGACAATGAAAGAGCTCGTTATGTTTTCTTACCTTATTCCCAAGTTTTGAGTATTTTTCTCAATAATAATAGCTAGTGTTTATCAAGTACCAACCATGTGCCATGTGTTCCTTTATATGATCAACAAATATTTACTGAATGCCTCCTAAGTGCCAAACACTGTTCTAGGTGTCAGGGAATACAACAGAAAACAAAACAAACCATGTTCCTGCCCTCATATTGCTGATACAAGCTAGACTTACACTGGCTAGACTGGAGCTATACCAACTGGGTTTCCATTCCATTTCTATTTTCTAGTTGCCTCAGTTTCCTCATCTGAAAAAGGAAAAATAGATGGTAGATTATATTATTGCTCAGCAAATATCCCCCCTCCCAGCTTCATGAGAAGAATATTCTTATACCTTTCCATCCTATTGAAGTATGGTTGGCCATGTGACTTGCTGTAATCAATGGGATGTTGGCAGATGGGTAGAGGCTTGAAATGTCTTTGCATGGTGAGGCTTACCTTCTTGTGCCTCTGCCTTGTCATGAGAAGAACATTCTCAGCTAGCTTGCTACTGCAAGGAACCAACCTGGACCCAATTTGTAGTATCTCAGAGGCAAGTATAGCTAAGCCTAGTCTTGCTCAGTTTCCCCTCAGTCAGTCCACAGATACATAAACAAAAATAAATGATTATCATTTTAAGCTACATAGTTGTGGTGAGGTCTGTTACGCAGTGATAGTATGGCAATAGTAGGTGATACATCACATCACAGGGTTGTTGTAAGAAGTAATTCAGTTTAAACTAATTTTTTTCTTTTTTTTCACCCCCCAATCAAGTTTAAATACATAAAAATCACAAATGTTTAGGCCAGTGCCTGGCATGTTATAAAGCAGTGGTCCCCAACCTTTTTGGCCCCAGGGTCCAGTTTCATGGAAGACGATTTTTCCATGGACAGCATGGGGGAGGATGGTTTTGGAATAATTCAAGTGCATACATTTAGTGTGCAGTCAAACCCCTCTGCTAATGATAATCTGTATTTGCAGCCGCTCCCCAGTGCTAGCATCACAACCTCAGCTCCACCTCAGATCACAGGCATTAGATTCTCATAAGGAGCCACAACCTGGATCCCGCACATGCGCACTTTAGAGTAGGGTTTGTGCTCCTGTGAGAATCTGCTGCTGCTGATCTGACAGGAGGCAGAGCTCAGGCAGTGATGTGAGTGATGGGGATGGCTGTAAATACAGATGAAACTTCACTCCCTGGTCTGCTAGTAATGGTTCGAGACCCGGGGGATGGAAGACCACAGTTATAAAAGATTTATTAATAGTTGGGGAGGAGGAAACATGAGAAACTAAAATTATGTCAGATGATGCTAAGTTCTAAGGAGAAAAGCAAAGCGGGGTAAAGGGTTGGGTGTGGGAGGGATGTTAATTAGCATCAGTGTTCAAGGAAGGACTCACTTTTGAGCAAAAATCTAAGTGAGAGAGTGAGCCATGGATTCTAGAAGAATGTTCCAGGCAGGGGGAAAAGCAAGTAGACCCACAAGAGAGGATGCTTAGTTTTTGGAGAAATAACAAGAAGGCCAGGAAGAGGGAGAATAGTGGGAGAAGAGTACAAAGAGGAAACAGGGGACAAAATCACAGAGGGCTGTGGTAATGGCTGGGCTTTTCTTAAAGCAAGATGATGTAACAGAAACTGCTAACTGTCCCCACTGTCCACCACCCTTTCTTCCTTTTGGTAATAGAACACTCACCCCCATTCCAAGTTTTAATGGGACTCACGGTCACCCAAACTGGAAAGTTCATTTCCTAGTTTCCCTGTAACTAATAGAAAATGAAAGTAAATGAGGACTAGAGTGTGTGTGTCATGTTCTTAGAAAGAATTTTTCCTCTCTCCATTTCTTCTTGTCTTTCCTACTCTCTAGCTAGTACATGAACACGGAATGCTGAGCCATGTGCAATCACGCAAATGACTCTTAAACATAGGAAAAGATGCTCAACCTCCTTCGCAAAAAAAAAAAAAAAATACAAATTCAAACTAGAGTACAATACTTTTTTTTTTTTTTTACTTATTAGCTTTAAGACTGACATCACATTCTTGGCATGGCTGGGGAAATGGGCACTCGTATATCATTTCCGAGAATTCAAAATGATATAACCCCATAGAATTTGTCAATTTCTAGAAAAAATTCCTATTCTATTGCCCTTTGACCCAGCAATCTTTCTTCTAGGAATCCATACACAAGGCCAGTCATTAGAGCACCAATTATAAGAGCAAAAGACTTGAAACAAGCCAAATGTCCAGCAGCAGGACACTAGTTCAATAAACTATGTAACATCCAAACAATGGAGTAATATGCAGCTATAAAAAAGGAATGAGGAATAGTTTTATATTCCTTAGTGAAATGGTTTCCAAGACATATTTTTCACATGGGAGAAGGTGAAGAAAAACAGGGATAGAAACTGTACTTCTAAGAATATACATCATTTTCTATATCCAAACTGGGAACCATGTAAATACTTTTACATAATTAATTAAAATCTCTAAAAATCAAAAGCAAAATTAAACAAATGAACTTATCTGCATATTGAGTTTGTAGCATAACGATACAGAGAGGAATGATTTCAAGTGACTTTATGACTTTAAAGCAGTAATTAGACAGTATATCCCTAATGAGATATAGTGTAAGGACAAAAAGAACTGCACGAAATAACATAAACATGTTATTTAAAATAGTTTTCAGTTAATTATGTTGTTAGTGATAGTTTTGGTAGTATTATTAGAAAACTACCTGTGTATTGTGAGAATAAAACTGTCATACAGGTTCATGAAACCTGTTCAGTCGATTACAGCAGATGTCTATGGCAACCAATTGGATGCAATGATGAGGATGCTTGTGATTAAGCAGCTGAGATTGGTCAATAGAGAGAGGCCAATCCTCTTGCAAGACAAGGCTCAACCACATGTGGCACAAACAACGCTGTTCAAGTTACAGAGACTGGACTTGGAAACACTCTGTCATCCACCGTAATCACCAGACCTTGCACCAACTACCACTTCTTCCAGGCTTTGAGC